AGGTGAGTTTGTTTCTCCCTCGAGCTTCCCACCAGTGGTAGATCACTCCTCATACGTCAGCAGGCTTACAAACGCTATGCGTTCAGTTAAACCTGCTCCCCTCCGACCACAGTCCATTGATGTTTTCGTTCACCCTTGTTTAAAAACTTCTTCACATGTATTTGTTCGTCGCGACTCGGTACGTCGTCCTCTAGAACCCCCATATGACGGACCATATAAAGTGATTAAACGTACTGATAAATTCTTCGTTTTAGACAAAAAAGGCCGCGAAGACACCGTCAGTATCGACCGTCTGAAACCAGCTTACTTGGAAGGTAACCCCATTAGCCTAGAGCTAAACGTACCCGATAATTCACGAGTAATTGAATCTACTTCAGTCTTCGAAGAACTCCCTAGCACGGCGAAAGCCACCGAACCTTCGGTCGATCACTCTAAAAAAACGCGTTCTGGACGTCACGTTAGATTCCCAGAATACCTTCACACCTATTTCACATAACTGAGTGACACATCAATTTTTTTTATGTTGCGTCATTTAACACAAGTAAATGATGTTTGTCCTATAACCGTACATAAAATTAAATTAGATGTATATTTTTTTTCCCGATATTTTGAACTTTACATTATTTTGCTGTATAGTAGATGCATGTCATTTTTTTTGGTAAAAAACGCTTATTTGGTACATTTTTCTTGACAAGGTTCTCAGCATTCTTGTTTTCTTTTCCAGGTGCAACGGGCACTGGACAGGAAACAAACGAAGCACGGGATCCAACGAACAACATCCAGGAAGCTATGTACAGACACCCTATTAGCATAGGAAGACAGACCAGCAGGCACTCCATCAAGCCGCTCGGAAGATTTTTTTCACCCGTCAGGGAACCATCGAGATTTTTTTACTTCCGGCTGGTCATGTCTTAGGGTCCTCACAAACCCACTAAGGGGGGAGTGAGCTGTAGCGGTAAATAATTCCCCAAAATTATTAACCGCAGCAATCATCACTCAACATTGGATGCTGACCATCTCTGTTTAAGTCGACTTGTTTAGCTGAAGGCTTACGGTCAAGCATCCCCGCCATTTGGTGCTCCGTCGTGTCACGTGCGTGCACGATTACTAGCTAGCTAAGCATTCACCTCTACCCGCGATTTTGTCCCGAAATATAATACGTACTTTGGACGACAAAATCTGGTCTTTTGCTTTACCATTTGGTACTCGAAGAACGAACACTATAGTGGTTGTTGGTATAAGATCTTGCGTTAGTATAATCCGTACAGTTCGCGAACGTCGATACCTGCAGCCCCCTAAAATATCAAACTAATCTGTCAACTTCTACTGTACTACCATCTGTTGTAATACACTGGGAGACAAATTGTGACACTCCTACACATATATATACTCATTGAACCGATAGTACTGTTATGAACCTCCTAAAATATGTGTAAATTTTGTTTATTCTATATCTTCTAATTGTTCCACACTATGTACACGCAAAGAGCATATTGTCCTTATAAACCTCTCCGATGTTAAAGACTATTGCTACACACAACTGTCGCTGTTATCCTATGATTCATACATGTAAGCAACATCCAAATGCTCAAAATTAAAAAGATTCTTGTATTACATTTAATGATTTTATGGATATTAGATATTAAAATCAAATTTCTGCACGACATATGAATGTCTCACATGGACACGTGACATAAACAATTACACATACAAATACATAAAACTGATAGTCCTGCAGCAAAAGTACATAATATTGGAAATAACATGGGCTGCTGTGCAAATTTTCTTCTAATTTTTTTTCTTTTTTACAATTGTGTTTACTACTATTCTAAGTTACTATTTTTGTAATATTATAGAAATTTTTCTATGTATTTTTGTGCGTGTTTTCAACTTGAATATTGTAAAAATAGTCCATTCGCGGAAGAGAACGGACTATTTTTGTTCAATATTCGAAAATAAAGATATTATGGATACATAGCAGGTGGCTACTGTCACAGGCGACGGTCGCCGCCAAAGTATGCCGGCGGGATAGTTTCCCAGTCTTCGAATCATTGTCAAAATTATAAGGTTTTGACAACATTTCGCTTACTGGCCATAGGTATTGTGATACCAAAACCAGTCAGGGTTTTTAAGTGAACATGCTCTGGATTTTGACCGACCACGTGGGTTTCGCCATTGAGGGAAATTCGGTCGACGGTGGGAGGAAATACGGGGACTGTTTGACCCAGGTAGTTGCTGAACGGAGTTGTATAACTCTATCACCGCGATTTCGCCACTCGAAGTCCATTTAGTAATTGAGCGCATTTCAGTGACTGACCGTTGTGTTATTCCCATAATTTCACCCACAGAATTAGCTAAATGGTCTACAAGTAACGATGCCGCACACAACAAAGTTATATGGAGGAATTGACTTCAAACTTTATTTTTTTCCAAAATATTTGTAATTTATCTAACACATACTTGGGTTTTTTTTGTTAGTGCGAAGAAAATATTTATATATTTCTTAATGTGCTCCATTGAACGACTAACTATAAGATTGTACTCACTAACTAATGTCAGAGAGGATAGCAACCATGTAATTTCACTATAAGTCAAATTCATATAATGTAAATAATACTTATCCATGCCTGTACAACTGGTGTGTCCTACATAGATAGGAAATATACGTATACTTCTAACAACTTGGAGTGAAACAAGCACAGCCAGTACTGACTGTGGCAATTTGGATAAGAACAGCTCTCTTTGGAGTCCCTCATCGAGCTGATGTTGGACAATAACTTCCCGCATTCTCGTTAGCATGTTCACAGCTGACTGATCACCTAACTTGACTTTGCGAAATGATTCGTCAGACGCTGCCGATCCGTGAGGTCGTTTCTCCTAAGGAGGGATACCTTAAGCATCTCATAGGGGTTACTTACCTCTGGGCTTTGCATATGCACAGTTACGCATTCAGTTAATTGCTGAGGTAGAGCGTGGATATCTGCAAGGAACTGTGAACGTTGGTCAATGTTCCCATGTTCATGAAATCATACTCGGCTATATGAAACCTTGCTTTCACATTATCTTGCCAAATTCGCGCGAGCTGAATGCTTCTGTTACTTGATCGGATACGGATGAGTTTAGGCATTTGGTCACTCATAGAGAAATATATATTTTAAAAATTGTACATGAGAAATACGAAATGGAACGAACTCACCGGATTTGTCTGCGCATTTACCAAAGATTTAGTTCGCGGTAGGGTTCACCAGTTTAGAAGTTGATGGTGTTGACGTTAACGGGTAATAAGAATGGCACTAACACAAGATCTAATAGCAACAACTTCTATAGCGTTCGTTCCGTGTAGACCAAAGGCAAAGCAAAACACTAGAATTGGTTGTACAAATTTGTTTATTTTTCGGCATCAAATCGCATTGCGAAATGATTGCTTAACTAGCTACGGATCATGCACGAACGTAACAAGACGGCGTGCCAATGGCGTGGATGCTGGGCCGTAAGCCTTCAGCTGAAGAAATCGACTAAAACAGTGGAGGTCAACATCCAATTTTCAGTGATGAATGCTTTGGCTATTAATTTTTAGGAATTACTTACCACTACGCATTACTAGAATCCAGTAATTTTTCTTAAAACTGGCATTACTACAACTTTCGGATTATTTGAATTCACAGCAGTTCAAGAATAAAGCTTAAACTTTTCTCAGCCAGGTACTCTATAGCCTACTATTTACTCATGTCTATTATTATGGATTACGTATTTTATGCAAGTATATGAAAGCTGAAACCTGCAGGATTTGTCAGCAAATGTTTGTATTATTATGTTAGGATACAGGGGAATGATATCGGAAGATAGTCAGTTGTACGAAATCACATAGTACCTAATCTTGCTATCAACCATTGGAATAAGCACTTCTGGAATTTGATCTGCTTGATTGAAATGTCGACCGATATCTAATGCTTGATTTGTTTGTTTTTTTGTCGATATTCTTTGATAATGAATTTTCTGCTTGGAGTTATGGTGATTATTGAAATAAGCATTCTCCTCCGTATACCTTTACCTTAAATCATTTCACATACTTCTAAAATACTTATTAGATATGTCATAATATTCATCATCAGTTCAAATGCTAAGCATGAGTAGTTGAACTGAAGGGTATTGCTTCTTTTTAAAACGTCACACGGTAGCCTTTTCATTTTAAACTCTTTATTTAAATCATCTTATTTTACGTATTTCTGCATACGTACAACACACACACAATGTAATGTAGGCTTATTACAGAAAACCTTAAATCCAAAATCTTATAATGGGCATAGCACAGCAGAGACAGTTTTTGGGAAGGATTCATTCTAAGATTAAAGAATGCAGGTCAGACGACGAACTTGCTGAATTATCACTAATGTATCTGTAGATAAGTGGCACAGAGTAAATTAAAAATAGAAAAATATCTATGCTGCGATTGAGCTTAATCAGGAGCCAGTTAGGAGGTTGTTTGTGACCAATCTCACAAGGTAGTCTATTATCTGTGATGCTAGCAAAGCTATTTTTACTAGTGCGAATTTCTTTTTGAGTAAAACATAAAATAGTAATCCCAGGCATTGACTAATGGAAAAAATGGGGGTCGTTCTTCAGTCACCAACTACCTCATCCAACTTCGCTTCCCAAATATTCTAACGTTTCTCTTCGTCAGTAAGGTCCATAAATACTTAAATGCTGATAGCTCTTGCCAAGTATATGAAAGAGTACACTAAGCTTACTGAAACAACACTTTTGAAAACATATTACTACATTTAACCTAAGGTTCTATGCATTAATGTCACATGGAGTGGCCTTCAAATGCACCAATAAATGTGTGATATTACTACAATAAAGAGATTGGGATATTTAAATCTTAAACATTTTAGAAATGAACTGCTAACGCAAAAAAAGATTTTGATTGATTTCGAGTGAATTCCAAAATAATTATTTTGTGATTATACAAAACATTTAGATGAATACATACATATAATTTAATCACAACAAGATTTTGTTAGTCTGCTAGCACAGATTACAATGTTTTCAGGAGTAACTTCAGATTTTGCATAAGATACAAAATGAGCATCAGGAAATTTCAATTCATGTTTAATATACATAAGACGACCCCAATCAATTAGATGTTTGGATATTTTACCGATTCTCATTTTGTAGTTGACATCTAGACTGCGACTGGGATAAAAAATATTGAAGCAAGAGGTCAAAAGTTAGTAATGATTAAAGTACAAGTAAAATTTTTTTATATTATTACACATATATATTATATGGAACTTAAGAATAAGCATTTATTTGTGGAGGCTAATACATTGTTTTGAAACACCCTAAAAAATTGCGATACACGGAGAAAGAAACATGCATATGGTGTCATCAGAGATTTGTAAAACTAACAGACATCAACACACCATCAAAACAAAATGAATGATTTCCGACATGTTACCAAAAGAATACTGTTAGTACAGAAAATCTTCTTTTTAGTCGTGAAGTCATGATTTTTGCACGTACTGATATGATGTCGTGATTGGACAGTTTTGATTCGTTTACTTATGGCTTGAATTTATGAGGTTTTGAAAATATAATATACCACAAGTTTATCTAATAAAGGTTATTATTGTTCCGGTCATCGTTTTCCCCAGGTTGACTTTTATGTCAGTCTCAGTGTAAAAGATAATTTCAGGTGATCAGTTGCTTATAGTGTTGTGTTCTGGAGGCGCATTCTAGTCAAGTTAGACGAATCCACAACTCAGTATCACTTCATCATAACTATTTAAACATTAATTATTGTTGAAAAATGGTGTCATTTACTTGGTAATGGCAAACGGTGGAATCCAGGAGGCACATTCCATCCTATCTAGAACTTGTCATAAACGCGATGTACCTGTGCGCTCCTCGTGAGTGATGACAGTGTCTTTACTGAAACTTGACAAAGGTTAATTAATTATTTTGATCAAGTATAGTCAATCAACGAGGAAATTGAAAACATTTTCAATGCATTGTGTTTTGATAAAATTATCAACGATTTTTTCAGCTCTATAACTTGATGAACAAATTTATAAGCAGTGTAGTGTGCTTAAACACTCACGTAAATTTATCATAAAATCTCGTAATAGGAATAACAATAATAAGGCATTAGAGACTTTATGCAAATAATTTGGATATCAGCAAAAATAAGAAGAAAGGAAATACTGTTTTACTAATGTACCTTACATGAGTGTTACATTCAGAATTCATTGATAAAAAGACAGTCAAAGAGCACTTTGCATGTCCTTCTATAAATACTTTGCTCGACAAAATACGTATTTATGTATTAAATGTATAAATAAAATACATTTTGCATCAGTGGTTCAATAATGCTCACCAGCCACCTACGTCATCTGGATTCAATTCCCTACCGACGCACTTCTGAACTACCCTTAGCAGGCGGTTAGTCCGTTAAATAGGTAAGATTAGGTGTCAGGCTAGCAACCCCACTCCGTAGAAACAACATCATCACTACTAGACTCCAAAGCTCAAGCTTGAAGCCGCTCTATATCCTACTCAAAACACACAGGGATAGAAGAAAAATAAGATACACTTTACGATATAGAAAAACAAAGGTCTGCCGGCAAATCTTGCTTAAGAATAAAAAAGACTTAAAGTGAGAGTGAATTACAAGGTTTCACACAGTAAAAAACACTGGCACATCACAATAAATGAAAATATAACCCAATAAAAAGATCTAATAATATAAATTCAATTGATTTATTCATAATAAGAGTGCGTTTCTTTTATTCTTTAAGTGTAAAGCTTTTAGAAGGTCAGTCACACAGAGTAAAAACAATGACAATGGTGATGATAATGAAGAATAATCGCTGCTACGCATACTGATGCTGTGTTTGGCGAAAGCCTATATAAGTTGTAAAACCACTCAGGTATGACTATCTAAATGCGTTATTTAAACAATGAAGAACACTTTCTTCGAAGAACACTTTACTTCACTATCTGTATACAAAAGGAGTTATTCTGTTGGACAAAGTTGAAAGTTTCGCATTATGCTTCAGTGTTAATTGTTGTTAAGGCCAAATAAAAGTAGGACCCGTCTATGTTAAGATTCAAATATTTGTGTTGAAAACTGTAGAGTACATGGAGTTAGTGGAGGAGATTATTCTATCCGATTGGATGATTCACTTTTGAGACAGTGAATAAAAGCCATATTCAGCTGTGTTGTCAGCATGCTGAAAGTCTACACCAATCGAAGAAACTGTGTCACTCGCTTACACTAGATTGATTGCCTACGCAGATGCAGGCGATTCACACTCTCTCTGATTAGTAGATTCCAGTTCGCTGACATCCAGGTCAGTCAGCTGATTATCGCCTTTGTCTACTAACTAAGAGAAAACGGTGAACTACAAATGCCTTCCAATACTTCAGAGATTCTATTTTGTATTGCAGAATGTAAAGGTTGAAATTTATTAAAAGCCTAGTTAGAATCAGGCAGTTATAACATATATCAATGTAAACTTTGTTATTAACACAATCCGTAAATTGTATTACACTTATATACACACATTTTCATGATCAACATTGCCAATACCAATTACGGCAAAATATCAGGAAGATTCTAAAGGTTGATGTTTATTGCCTATTAAACGTTCGATCAACTCAACAACCCAGGAATGACATTTAACTCATCTACCAGCACCCGAGCATTACAAATGAAAAGGAACAACTGCAGTTGACATAAAAAAAAGCCACAAAAGTTTGCAAGAATTCAAAAATATTTATAAATAATTAGGGTAGAAAAGCTGTTGTATATTTTTTGTTGTCACGGCAGTGCAAGTACTTTTGTTGCACTACTTTGTTCAAGTTCAATTCAAAAATATGACAACCTTTTAAGTTTTCATTGAACTGAGTATCAACATGGTGTAGACTGTACATACTCCAGTAATTCTACTACTGTATCAGTTTCAAATTTCCCTGAAAGAGTTTTGACGTTAATCTAAGCACCATCTTCGGTACTAATTCACATATAGATTAAGAGAATTATACACCTGCATTATCAGAGTATGTCGAAATGTATAAAAACAGGACAGATGACTCAAAAAAGTGTTTGAAACTAACAGTACTGTAAGACATTCATCTTCATTGCCACTTTGTAAGGCCTCTTTACACCTCACATCAGCATTATCAGTACAGGCATCGAAACAATGAGATGATTTCCGCTGGAATCCACAAACTGCCCATGAAGCTAATGAAGTAATAAGTGAAAATTCATCAGATGTTATATTGGCCACTTGTTCTAACCAATAACGACCAGCCGTTTCATTCCATGAACACTTGTGGTGACAGCATACAGCAAACATTATTCCCGACAAGCTTAAAAAATAAATTTGAAGGAAAAAATGAAGCAGTTGTAAAGATATGCATAGATAAACTGTGATTTTCGAATTACCTGTTCAATTAGCTGCAAAGCAAATACTATCATTGTCTTATATTTACACTAAATAGTGAGTGCAACATTGAAGGGGAAGTTATGATTCACATCAACAGTTTACTGTTATTTATAGGAAGAATGATACACAGAAGAGACTGTCAGGACAGCAGGGAACGTATATGAATCACTGTTTACTTGACCTCCATATCAAACACTTGACCATAATGCAGATTAAGACTTATGCTATTGGGTCTTTATGTTATTCATGCTATCCAGTTAGAACATAATTTTCATTTCTTATACCTGTAATTTATCGAGCACGTGAAATAATAATCATATAAATGGTTCGAGGTGTTCCGCAGGAAGCCTTGAAGCTAGGTTTTGAGCTTATTGGTACTCGTTAGCAAAGCATGTCTGCGATCTTGAGACTCGAACCTAGGTCACCCAGTGCTGCAGTCACAGACATTACCACTGAGCTATTCAGGCTCACAGTTGATCTCCTGTAGGATTGTATTGGGTACTTTTTGATTGGACAAATGCGTGTAGTCCTTTGTTGGGTGCAGACTGAGTTTTATCAGTAATGTCTGTAATGTGACTATCATGCCAGGTGGCTCACCATCACGGTGTGCTGTGAATTGTTATTAGATGGCTAGTTGGCAGGATGTTTATATATATATATGTATATATATATATATACACCTTTTGACTGGAATGAGGGCGCTAGCTTTCTTTAGCAGGCTTAAAGGAGGTCATCTCTTTCACTTATCTAGGCAACATCGTTACATATACAGGCAGCACATATGAGGACGTCAAAGTCATCCAGAATCGGAAAATCAAGACAGACTTTCGTTAATTTGAAATCAGTGTGGAAATCTGACGTAAAAAGGATAGAGAACAAGATTCAACACCAATATCAAGACAGTTGTTCTATATGGTTCAGACTTGTCCTGTCACCAAAGCAGTTAGAAGAGTGTTCAGGCTTTTATCAACAGCTGCCTTCTCTATGAGGCTAGAAAACTAGCCCCTTAAAGCTACAACAATACTACAGCTACTGAAACGTCACACCTCAACCTTGAAGTCTTAGGTTCCACTCGGAACACAAAGCAGTTGCAATGGTGTATAAAATATTATTTGTAATCAGTAAACCACATAATAACAATTATGTTGACAAAGAAAACTTGATTAAACTAACTCAATTATATTTCCACCATTTTTGAGACATCGAAGTGATAAATCTGAAAAAATTTCAAAAACAGACGAGAAAACAACCAAACGTTACAAAAACAGTTAAGAAAACTTAGAGTATTTAAAGGCATAAGCATGTATGGATGTGGATGGTATCAAATTTGATCACGGATTGATATCAGTTGGAGAACCATTAGAAACTAGAGAGTAGTGGACAGCTGTTTCGTTCTAGTTTGTGACGCTCCGACAGTACGCACCTATGGCATCACCAGGGGTGGAACATAAGACCATTGACGATTCACCCACTGAGACGGAGTGGAATGGCCATTGATTCTAACTTGTATGAGTTCTCGATTTAGCGGCACAACCAGTCAGTGTCATCGGCAATTATTCGCCCTCACACAAGACCTGGTTACGACTTCTCGCTAGAACTCCAGCCAAATTCGTCCTACAGCCAGTCACTGGTAAGCATCCGATTAATTTTTTTCAGTTCGTTTAAAACTGCTACTAGCAATCGAAGTATTTGTTAGGCAGACAAAACGTTAATTACCCAAGTCTTTGCAGGAGTTACAGATAAGACATGTAAGCTGCCAATAAACCTCAAATCTGGGTTGTTTAAGTCCTCCTAACGAAACGCACCATCTCTAGTATCCATTATCGGATAACAGTAATGTTGTATTCAGTTAGCTTTTTGACTGCGATGCATAGCTTAACAATAAATTTCTGTTGACATTTAGCATCACGCAGCCACATTAGTTATTATCCAGAGATCCGTTTGCATATTTACTAATGAATTTAGTCTGATTGTAATATTTCACCTCCTTAGCTTGAGTGACAAAACTCACAACCATCTAAGTGTATTGGTGATAATGTCAGTAATCACGGGCAGTAATTTTGCTCGAAATATTACCAAAAACAAGAACTTATCATTGTGTGTAAACTACTGAAATGTAATTATAATTTATTTGTATTGTGGTGTGAGCTGTCTGCTAGCCAAAATTGGTAGACAGCAATTTACGTCAACGTTTACGTCCTAAATATTAGTCATGAGAAAAACAAGAACAAAGACTGACTCAACAACCAATCACAGAAGACTTCGCGTGGGCGGATACAATTCGCAGATGAAAGATTAACTTTCAGCGAGAAACAACCAATCAGAAGACTGTGTTTGTCTGCCAACAATAATCTATAATAATGTGCATAAAAATCTACAAATAATTGTTGATTTCCTCAATAAACGATCTGTTGCCTGACTCTTGCCTTCTGTCGTTACAGTATCAGTATTATTCATAAACAGCAAACATCTATATTGTTCAGACATAAGACGGTTCATTTTGTTTATTTTACTGCACTGTTGTATGAATTTTTGATAGCATGAGATAAAGTAAATGAAATCTTTCCGAGTAGAATATGGCAATGATAGACGTATTTAATGAAGGTTTCACTTGCGAAGACTTTAATCAGTTACAGGTTTGATCACGAGCTGACATCTCAGTTAGAGAAACACTGGAAAACCAGGAAGTATTGAACAGCAGTTTTATCATGGTTTGGGATATTTCATCAGTGCGCACCCACCGGCGTCCCAACTGTTTATCGCAGCTAATTCCACATCCGAAGAAACATTGACAATCAAACCGTAGCCAAATACACAATTGGTGTTACAATATAAGTGTATCACATAGTGTGACTTAGTATATATATGGAGAGAGACAAATATTATAAATCTGGAAGTACCACACATTGTTTTATATCAGGACGTTTCAGAAATGCGCATCTACAAGTTGGTGAGAGGTTGAACTAAGGGAAGTTTACTCATTTGTCAGGAAAATTGAGTGGGTACCCTAACAACGACGCTTACAGCAACATTTCTGTTTTCATATAATGACAAGTAATATATTATCTAGATATTCGACATTAAATTATAAATTGGCAAAATTGTTATGGGGTATTTATTTGGCCGGTAGTAAATTGTGCTACACAGTGATATCTAGGCTTCAGGTTTCAAAGTTAAACATATAAAATTGTAATTTCATGATTTTATGCTGCTATATGTGGCTTATCGCATTAAGAATTCTTCGTTTCCACCTGTGTCCACGTGGTGATCACTCAAACTGGGGCTCTCCTATATCATTGCTGGTAAAAACTCACCACTCAACCACTAAATTCGGTATTCAGTAGGATTTATGGCTACCTATAAACTCGATTGCACAGCTTTTGAAAATGATTCGTCGGAAAGAGAAGTTTTCCCGTTTGTATTATTATCATTATTATTAACATTTTTGTTTAATTTTATGATCCCACAGTCTTCATTTTGTAAATAAAATTAATACGCCAAAAAATGTAAGGAATGCCTATGAACATATAATCTGTTATTATTCGAATACTTCTGAAAGGGCGAACATATTGCCATATCCCAAAAATACACCAGTTGGAATGCACGCCACCAACATATTAGTAAAGACTATGAATATCATATGCAATAAACTGGATATGCTGCTATGAAACAATGAAGATGCAATTTTAGATGTTTAACTCTGAAGCCTGCCGTCTAGATATAACTATCAAAGAACATTAACTGCAATAGACTAGCAAAACTTGTTCATTAAAACTGAATAATTTAGGGATATGCTTTAAAAACACTTCTCTTGAAAAATGTTTCCTATGATCAACTTATCTTTATGAAGGATAGAATTGAGTTTTCGGGGTAGTATGCACTCACCTGTAGCATCACCGCACAAGTGTTTCGCCACAGCAATCACTGGTCTTTTATTCTCTTGTATGAGTTGTACACGAGCTGTGAAATCAAAGAAAAATATTACAGGAAGTCAAATAGAATCGTAATATTCTTTTTTAAAACGGGTGTTGAAATTACTTAGAATAACTTTATTTAACTTAAGGTTTACATTGAATGGTCACTGAGTAGTAACACATTTCATATGTCCAGTTCTTACTGGTAATGACTGAATTCTATAAACCGACTGTACAATACAGTCAGCAAGCTTGCAGACTCACCACTACTAGACAATTGAAGACAATGGAAGTCATCTTATAATAACTCATCATTAATTTGTATGAATATTTATTCAATTTTCTAGGATGAAAATTTGAATTTCTTTTTGAGTTCTATCTTTTCTCTCTCTCGGTGTCAATTATTACAACAAAGATGTGACATTGCTATTCACCAATTCGGAACGGTGCGCAAAATATCAGCGGTAATAACACTCAAGTTCAGTATATGTGGAAAAATAACTTTCATGAGTTTTATCCTAACCAAGAAGTGAACAATCCTAATACGTGATAGGGATTCGATTTTATATCTAACTAAATAGGATTCCAATAAATTTCAAAGTTTTTTTAAATTTATAATACTTTGAGAATCTGATTTTGGGTGTTTATGATCGCCATATACAAGTCTGAATCTGCAGTAATAATAGGAAATGAATAATATTCCATCCCAAGTGTTTTTTTCATTTACAAAAGAAGTCAAGACTTCAACACGAAATTTTATGAAACTATCACGAGAAATCTAAGTATTTCGACGATAATGAATGTAGAAATTCTACAGAACCTTTGCGCCTGATGAATTCTTTTTCATTCCTTGAGTCCCGAGTGAAACATAGGGCTTCAGACTTTGAAGTTTCAGTAGGTTTGTTGTTATTTAAGCAGTGAGGTTGGTGGCCCCACGCCAAATCTCGCCTCTTTTCCCGGCTTACTGTCGGCTAGCAAACTAGGCATGGCTTAGGAGTGCGTCGGCGAGGAATCGAACCCCGGACCACGTGCGTGATTGGCGAGCACTCTATCATTGGATCACCGACGTACTGATCATTGCTTTAATAAAACAAAACAGCTTCACCTAGCATTATTTATTATTTTGCGTTTCCTTTGAAAAATTAATCAATTCATGTGTATTCTGATGTACTATGAATGTTCTACCCAAAAGTTGAAAACATAAATGTTTATATGTGGAGCTCAAGAATACTGGACAAAGTGGTATGTGAGAAAATTACGAATCGTTGGTTGTTTTGTATCAAGTTTGCACAATTTGACAAGTTTAACATTCTACAATGAAATATATTAGCATTTCTAAAGACAGTTGTAAATGTTTTTGAAATAATGGAGAAGGTTCGCAATTTTGATGGATGACTAAGAAGTACTACTACTGGCTGAAGTGAGTGGTTTTGTGGTATTAAAACTAATAAATATTGGTGTTATTCTGTAGCAAATATTACAAGAATATCGGATGTGGGCTTCTTTATACTTGTAAAACGTAATATTTTAATATAACTGGCAGGGGATTCGTGGAATCCGAAGCCTTGTGCTGTAAATGGTATTGCTATTCACCTCATGAAGCTCGTTGTTTGAAATATTAAATTACCACACAAATGCTTACCAGTTTAGCAAGACTCGTTATATTGAAACAATTCGCTCATATTTTTGAGGAAGTATGCAGAATTATGCTGTTGTGTCTTTAAAAGTTACTTGACAAAAGCTTTACTGGACATATATTACATATATACAGCCGTGCTTACATACAGCAGTTCAGCCTATTAAATATTTTAAGTTCATTTTTAAGAAAGATAATGTGTTTAACGAAAGTATAACTTGGGGTACTATGGCACAATTTAGGTCCATATTAGATAAATTTATTCGATTCAGTTATCAATACTGTATCATTGAATATTATAACGAAATAAACTCATTTAATATGCGAATAATGTGTTTAACCCATAAAAGTGGGATGTTTGAAAGTTAATGAAGGCATAAGTATTGATCAGAAGTAAGAACACATTAGCGTAGTGAAACTACAAAAGAAGTCGGTTTTCACAGAGATGGTTCGATTATGAAAAAATTTCAGTATTTATTATCAACCCAAATAAAAGAGTTATAGTTACCAAATTGGGCAACCAATTCACCGATTATACTTGTGTGTTTTTTCATTTGAACGCTTCATACTACTTTTTTTTCTTCGATAAATTTCCAAAAGCCTCAGGATGGTCGGGGGTGGGTGCCTTGCGCTGCGGGTTGGCCACCCCTCCGCACACCTCTTGAAATGCTCCCATATGACCGGGCGTCTTACATAGCCTCTCCTGAGGAAGTCCTACTCACTGCCTTCACGTGGCGGAGGTGTTTCTCACCAAAGTGAGAGGGCGAAAGCGGATGCCCGGCGCTCTTCACCGGGTTGACTGTCCATTGGATGACAGTCTAGGGGAGATGGCTAAACCCTGATTCCAAACCTCCAACGACTGGCGTATGAAGCCCACTGGAGCTCACCGGCAGACGTATGGACAAAGGGCGTGTTGGATGTCCTGGATGTCTGGCCCCATTCAAAAAGGCGTATGAACCGAACTCCGGTCACCGGCTGCCAATGGATAGTGGACTCCCTACTCCACTCCTACTGCCTTGTAGGTCACACTTGGTTGTGTAAAGGCTAGAGCTGCACTCTCGAACAAAAGGCCGAGCGATTCTGGGGACTTCACTCGTACCAAATTCCCACGAAACTTCATGAACTCTCTTACAAACGACTCTCACCAAGCTACGGCGTTCCCGGTAAGCGACGCGCCCTGTGCTCACCCGGTGGCCAGTGTGAAAAGTAAGCCAGCTGGGAAATTAACACTTAGGAACCAACTATTTGTTGGCTGCTGGAATGTTAGGACGCTGTTGGACCCTGGTAGCCAGTCTATCACCATGCGTTCTTTATATGACTACAAGGTGGACATAGCGTGTCTATCTGAAGTGAGGTTGCCCGATCATGGCTCCCGCCGAATAGCCGTACCTGGAACAGATTCTTCATTCTGGTTGCTTCATAGTGGACCCCAGAATAATTCGGGACAACATGGGGTAGCATTTGCACTCAGTAACAAAGCCAATAATGCCCTAATATCGTTCGAACCGGTCAACTCCAGAGTTGCAATCGCTAGGTTCAAGGGTTCCCCACTCGACATTTCTGTTCTCGCTGTCTATGCCCCAACCCTCGACTCTGATGAAAGTATCAAAGACGAATTCTATGACAATCTTCAAGAGGCAATCAACAAAATCCCAAAGCGTGACGTTCTCATAGTAGCCGGCGATTGGAACGCCCGCACTGGCCCTTCAGACGACGCGACGAAACATATACTAGGCAAACACGGTCTCGATCAGCAATGCCGTAATGGTGATAGACTTTTAGCTTTTTCTGACTACAATCGATTATATATCACCAACACTCGATTTCAACACCCTAGAAAACATCTTCTCACCTGGTATTCGAACGACGGTCGCACTGCACATCAGATTGACTACATCCTAGTGCGCTCACGCTGGATCTCCTCGGTGGAGGACTGCCGATCCTATCGTGGCGCAGAGGCCGGAAACAAAGGGGGATCAGACCATACTCTAGTTCGGGCGAAATTCAAACTTCGTTTAACAACACGCCAGAAGGTGCGACCTCCGAAGCGTATCAATGTTGCCCCGCTTCAATGTTCGATAAAGCGACAAGCCTTGTCCAAACAAATCCAGGCCGAACTAAGCGCCGCAGATGAGCCAACATCCACATCTTCTAATACACCTGAGACACGATGGAATCATTTCAAAGAAGTAGTCTCTAAAGCTTCAATGTCGCATTTGGGTACCACATCCAACAAACAGAAAGACTGGATTTCAGAGCACACTATGCAACTATCCTCGCAAGCCAGAGACGCTCGCCTAGCAAAGTCTCCAGTTTATCGCTCCCTCAGGCGCAAAGCTACACAGTCTGCTAGGAATGATAGAAATCGCTATTGGTCTAATGTGGCGACTAACATGGAAGGAGCATCAAATGTAGGCGATTTCGGAAAACTTTATCGCCTTATACGCCTATCATCTGGCAAACGCCTTAACAGCCATGCTGTGTTACGCACAGCATCAGGAGAAATTATTTCGGACACCAATGGTAAGATGGAACGATGGGCCGAACATTTCAAGCAGCTACTCAATCGCAACGCTGGTCAACCGCCTCATCGACCGATACAACACTTACCAACACCCTACGTAGTTGACTGCGATCCACCCACTCCAACCGAAATAGCTAAAACAATTAACAGACTCAGGAACAAGAAAGCTCCGGGCGAAGATGGTCTACCTCCAGAAATATACAAGGCCTGCACTCCAGCGCTAATCGATTCGCTGCACTCGCTGTTCTGCTCAATTTGGGATTCCGAAACCATTCCTTCCGATTGGAGCACCTCAGTTTTGCTACCGTTCCACAAAAAGGGAGACAGGTCAATATGTGAGAACTACCGAGGCATAAGTCTGATTGATATCGCTGCTAAGGTTTTTGTTTCCATTCTCCTGAACCGCTTCGCTGCCGAACGCCACGTGCGAACAAGGCCAAATCAAGCCGGATTTCGACCTGGAAGAGGCTGTATTGATCAATTATTCACACTACGAAGAATTTTGGAACACAGGGACAAATATCAACAGCCGACGGTTGCTTGTTTCATCGACTTCCGAGCTGCATTCGACTCAGTTGATCGAGGAGCACTCTGGTATCTAATGGAGCTCGACGGAGTTCCGACCAAGCTAATCAACCTGCTCAGGTCATACTACTCCAACACCAAAGCTCGAGTCCGAGTGAACGGTGAAGAGTCTCGCACTTTTGAGGTAACCAGCGGTGTCCGGCAAGGTTGTCCAGCATCCCCCATTCTGTTCAATTTCACAATTGATTGGATTTTGCGGCACGCCCTAACCGAGCACCACGGCGTCCAACTTTCGCCCGATATTCACATAACCGACCTCGAATTCGCCGACGACGTCGTGTTACTAGCTGAAAACTTCCCCGATATGCAACAGGCGCTCGATCAGATAAACCACCTCGCGTCTACCATCGGTTTGGAAATCAACACTTCCAAAACCAAAATGTTTTCGAACACATCCACCAGCAATGATGAAATCTTATACCTGAATGGAGCACCTATTGAAATTGTACCATCCTTCAGATATCTGGGATCCATAATGCTTCCCAACGGTCAAGCGAAAAACGAAGTGAATGCGCGGATCTCCAACGCCCGGAATGCGTTTCTTCAGCTGAGAAGCGTTCTATGGAGCAAGAGGGAAATCAGTCTCAGGACTAAAATTCGGGTTTACCAAGCCTCCATACGATCCGTTCTCCTGTATGGCTGTGAAACCTGGCCTCTTCGCGCGGAAGATGTACGCAGACTTGAGGTAGTAGACCATTGGTGCCTCAGGTACATTCTGCATGTTCGTTGGCAGGACAAACTCTCCAACGAAGAAGTGCGTCGTCGTTGCTACAACACCAACCAAATTCCAGTACTGGTCCAACAACGTCGCCTTCGGTGGTTTGGCCATGTTCTGCGCCGACCAGATGATGACCTGCTCAAATCAGTTCTAAATCCCTCGCCATTACCATCTTGGCGATGTCGCAGGGGTGGACAGCTGAAAACATGGCTTGGTACAGTCAAGGCTGATATGGAGTGCCTGGGGCTACAAACCGTCTACGGACTCCGTCTGTGGAAGAAGAATTGGATAACCCTGTCGCAAAACCTTGCATCAGATCGCCGCGCCTGGGCAGCGATGATTCGAGATGTTCATGAAGCCGGCTCATCCTCTCGTAGGAGATAGCCGAAGTAAAGTAAGTAAGTAAATCAGACAAAATGTTTAATGTCTTATGTTAAAAATACTTCCTTTAATGAGAGTCTTTTATGATGGCAGTTACACACCCAGAAACTGATAGTGTACAGGTTAAAGGTTTCATTATTTTAATTAAGGCTTTCTTTGAACTTTATAAAGCAAACACTATGCGTAATAGGTAAGATACATACAGACTAAATAATAACAATAATAATAATTCGTCTATATGAGGACTATATCAGTAAAAAAAGAGAAGCCACTTACTTAGATCCAAGTCAGCTATATTAATTCTAAGGCGTGTAAAATTTCCTTCACCGCGTTGACGTCTATCCATCTAATGAATAAGGAGGAAGATTAGATATGATAAATGAAATCATACGAAAAATTAGAGAGAAAGTAAGAAAATAAAGAAATTGTATTGTATTCTTATTAAGCCACATGTGAAAACAGACCTCAATATGACCTAATCCAATTAGCTGAATCAGTGTTTTAGTAGACAATACAACTTCGAATAACCAGCAGAAAATATCAAGGTTATCGTAATACTGAAAAACACAAACACATTGTATTTGAATACTAATCCATAACCATTTTCAAGTGTTAGTTTGTAGGGATTTGATTGGTCTCAAGTTTGATCACAGACTGATATGATTCAGAGAACTACCGAAAACCAAAGAGTATTTGGACAACCATTTTGTCCCAGTTTGGGACTCTTCATCAGTACGTACCCAGGACCTTCAGTTTACGAGGTGAGCTCATTGATGATTCAGCCATTGCGACAGAAACAAATACTCCCTAGTTTTCAATGGTTCACTAACTGTTAACATTTTATGATCAAACTTGAAATGTCTATTCAACTTACGAAAACACAACTGATACAAATTGAATGAAAATTTCATTCAACAACCACGTGCATGTTTGCGCTTATGACGCTGAAACAAAGCCATTGTGTGATGGGCAATGATGCTACTATCAGAATGAAAAAAAATCTAGATAGGTGAAATGGCGGTCGAACTTGTGACAGTCACTTTTCCAAAGCAGGAAGGCTTAAAGTCATAAATCACAACTTTAACCGAGTATATAACATCCGTAAGCTGGATATGAACTGAGTAACCAATCGTTTTATTACACTACCTGATGCGATTGCTTTCTCATAGAAAAAACCTCAAAACATATTAGCGAATCGTTAAAACAAGGAGACAAACAACACATGCCCACATAACCGAAATGAAAATTTTATATCTGCCTGAAAGAGAATTTATCTTTTATTTTTATGTTTGTAGTGATGAATTAAGCACAAGATAAATTATTCAAAATTTTTCATTTTAAGTAAAATCTCATTCCGTATCTTACAAAAATTTCCACATTTAATTTCTACTTTGACAACTAACGGCAACACTTAGAAGTGAACCTATTTAGAGCACTATCTGTTAAAATGCTATTTGCAAATGGTTCCATGGTTTCATAGAGAAATCTTAAGGAAGAAGTGACATCTGCGAATCATTTCAACAGGCTAAAAGAATAAAAATACCTTTAAAAACCTTCCTTGTATCTTATTACGCAATATTCCTCCTGGATGTTACCAGCTGAATGGTATTTTGATGTGAGCCATTCACCCAAACTTGTTGAATCTTTTTCCAAAATTACTATAAATAGCTAGTTTCTTTTCATTTCAAGTATATTTTTTTGTGTCATTTCATTGTTTGCTACGATGACTGAGCTTAGTTCGACTCTCTTTCTCTCTCTCTCTCCCTTAATTCTTACTTCACTAATCTTATCTATATTTTCCAAACTGTCTGTAGCTGAAGAGAACTGTCTAAGTAAAATGAACCTAGTTATTCACTTTGAAGAACAACACCATTGTTAAAGAAAACAAGCCTAAAATATGAATTATTTTTTCAACAAACAACTAAATCAAGATGAAGTGTAAGAATTGTATGTGTCATTCTTTTATAAAACTGGCTATCCACATTGAGAATTGAAGGTGTAGGTTACAAACAGGTAAAATGAACTTTATACCAAAGTTTTATAGTTTAAATTCTTCTTTTTGTGTGTACAGAAAATTGATGTTGAAAAATTCTTTCTTCACACATAAATCTAGAGTATTTAACTTGATGACGTGCACAACGTTGGACGGAATAAACATTCACATACACAGAAATATCAATAAAGTCTTTTAATTTCTCATGGGGATGAAAATAAAGTGATAATAATAATAAGTTAAAATACTCCAATTACGCGGTTAATGGAACGTTGTAAACCTATGTGATCCCTTTAAAATACCCTTAAGAGTAGTGCTACAGGAGAGAGAAACATGGTACGCAATATGAACTAGGCATATACACCTTTGCAGTAATTATTTTAACAATCAAGGCTTTGACCCATATTAATTCACATGGTACAGTGGATGATATGGAAGTTAAGCGTAGGGTGATACATAACTAAAAGAAGTCAGTCGAAGAGGTTGTGAAGCTGCATTTGATGAGATAGTTAGGACGTGTGTTATGCATGGGAAGTCATTGCCTTCCTCGTCGAACAATGTTAGCTAACATAAGGTTAGAGTGGAAAAAAGTTTGGGCTGGTGTTCAGAACAAAACATGGCACCAGTCCGTGAAGTCTTTGGTTGTTAGTTTCAGCCAGTGTAGGGAGGTGCCCAGTTGAGGTTCTCGGGATGCTAAGAACCAATGGTTTGCGACTGTTGGTGATATGGCTGAAAATCGTTTTTCAGCGAGTAGATACTTGCACTCTTTGTAATCTCTTACAACCATTAAATCCTCATGGTTTTCAATGTTACTTTTCTTTCCCTAGAACTTTTATGCTTATTGTAGTTTCTTTGAATTTCTCTACCTTTCTGTGCTAAATGGAGTGTGGCAACTTGAACTGTTGCGATTGTGTTCAAAGTTTTATGTTGAAATTCGACATAGACTATTTGGTTAATGGTGATTAGTGGTTCAATCTATAACGTGTATTTCGTCCTCTTTGGAAAACCTCAGGTGGACATACTTACTTCTTTTAACAGACTCAAGAGACTCAAAATAGTTTTAGTAAATATGTTATTATGGAGTTATTTTCAACATACAGTAATTTTTCACAGATGACTACAACTAAATGGCTGAGTTTCAACGTGGAATTTTACACAGAAGTGCAGCAGTTCACGTTGCTACACTCCATGTACCATACAAAGATAGAGAAAAGAAATTCAAAAGAAGTATACGGAGTAGACATTTACAGGAGAAAGAAGTAGTAACATGGAAAGAAAACAGCATGAGGATTTAATGGACGTGAGAGATTACAAAGAGTGAATGTATCTACGCTACCGAAAAAAGAAACGATTTTCAGCCATATCACCCAATAGTCTCAAGCCACTGGTGTTCTTAACATTCTGAGTATCACAACTAGTCAGCGTCGAGCTTCTCTATGTGACTCAAACCAACAATCAAAGATTCCATTGATTGATGTCAGGTTTGATTTGACCGTGTTTAACTCTTTCCCAACCTCATCTTACGTCAGTTAATAATGCTTGTCAAGAAAAGAGGTGGCTGGATAACAATACTGCTATCACAACGCAAGGAAACAGGTTCACAGGTAATAAAGATTCCACTTTTTGATTTACACTAAACACTGAGTGCAAATGTAACAGGATAAAACGGCTACTTGTTCCACATTAATTAGTTGCACACAAGTTTAGTTACTTGTTGTTTTTTTCTCATACTTAATAATTATCATTTAAATAAGAGAAAGTAGAGCATTCCTTTAAACAGGAATAGCTAGATTTGTTAAATACTTAGTGAATAACTGATGAAATTTTTCTGTTTAATAAGAATAAAGCTCACCTTATCACGAATGGAACATAACTCTACAACTAGAAAATTAGTTTCAGGCGCTTTAACTGGCCATACACCTGGATAATGATCATAACAACGTTGACCTAATTCAGTAGATGCTAAACAGTTGTTAATCCAATGAGACAGTCCAGCGCGACCAGCACCAAATTCAACATATAAACTATTCGTTGACAGCAGGCCTTCTTTTTCTAATACACGAATCAAACATCCATTTTGATAGACATGACGCATTGATCCACGGACTACAGTTTGCGGATCCACACGAAAGTTATCTTCATCTAGGCTGTTAATGTTATCAACTTGAAAAAGAAAATAGATGAAAGTAACAAAATTACTATTTAATGATATCAAATATCAGAGTATAACTTGTAATAAATATTATTCGATAGCGAAATTAAATCACAGTATCCCAACCGTATTAGATGGTTCGAGGCAATCGGCAGGAAACCTTCGACCTAGGTTTCGTGCTAGTTGGCACTCATCAGCAAGGCGTATCTGCAACCTTGAAGGAGCTGATGTCCTTTCTGAGATTCGAACCCGCATCACCCAGTGCTGCAGTCAGAGACTTTACCACTGAGCTATTCAGGTTCGCGACTGACCTCCTGTAGGACTGTATTGGATATTTTTGATAGAACACTAGTCAGTAACTAGAGTAATGTGTCTAGTCCTCTCTTTGGTGCAGACTGAATTCTATCAATCATGTTTGCAATGTCAGTTGCGAGCCTGAATAGCTCAGTGGTAAAGTCTCTGACTGCAGCACTGGGTGATGCGGGTTCGAATCTCAGAAAGGACATTAGCTCCTTCAAGGTTGCAGATACGCCTTGCTGATGAGTGCCAACTAGCACGAAACCTAGGTCCAAGGCTTCCTGCCGATTGCCTCCAACCATCTAATACCAACAATTCACAGTGCACCGTAATGGCGAGCCACCTAGCATGGTGGCCACATTGGAAACATGACTGATAGAATTCAGTCTGCACCGAAGATAGGACTAGACACATTACACTAGTTACTGACTAGTGTTAAATCAAAAAAAGTATTCCAACCGTATGATCGCATCAATGACTTTGAACCGACAAACTAAAGTAAATCATTAACAAAATGCTCAGAGAATATTACACAGGATAGATGACTTTCTTTAAAAGTTTTCGGGAATAACTCCAAGTTTCTCATAAGAATGTTGGTGTTCATCTGAATGACTATAGTTTAGCTTCAATAGCTACGGCTACGGTTCGAGTGGACCATTGTTAACCCAAAAATAAGGTTAGAAATTATTGATTTAAAAACATATATATATATATATATATATTGCATGTAGTATATGCATATACCATTAACATTGCATTTGGAGACATAAGACTGCTAAACAAACAAGTCACATTGAATCAATCATACCAAACAACAGGTGTGAATATTTTTCAGGTCATGTTCAGATAGATTGGTATGAGTATAACAGATTAAAATGAAGATAATAATGCATTACTGTTCAGTTACATCATACTTAAATAAACAATTAGTTGTCAGCGAAAGAACTTGAAAGTGTCAGAAACTGCACACTAAAAATAATAAGACTACTATTCAATATAACCATTATTGTTATTATGAAACGAGTTAAGATTATGCTGCTGAAAGAGAGTTTTGAATGAGTCAAGAATAAAAGAGAAAAAAATGGAATGATAATTAGCAAAAGATATTACCACGGTAGATTCAAATAACCACCACCACTCCCATTTTGTACACAGAGACAGCGGTTTATGAACTCTGATTGCATAAGGCTACACAAATGCAATCATCTTTTCGTTTCTTTGCCTGCTGACACAACAATGAATGACTTGACAGCATGTTAGCATCATGTCTGTGGTTGGCAAAAAGTCCTACCGAAATTCGATGAACTCATTAAATCCTGTATTATTGATTAGGGTTTAGTTTAAGGCTATGTATAGGAAAAGATATCCCCTAAATCCCGAATAGCATTGATTATTAATACCTAATTCCATTTGTCTTTGCATTTTTACCTCAGTCAGTTGGCTAAAAATGATTAGTGTGCTCCCTCATCTAATCAACATTAAGGAACTTCCATTTAAATGACTAGTTAACGCAAAATTCAAGTGTTCTTTTAGAAAAGAAGTAAGGAGAGGGAAGAACACTCTGAGAATTCAATGGTGGTGAATCAATTTATAAAAACAGAGATAAAATACAGCTGGAAACTAGAATAATAACTAATTAATTCATTGAACATTATTTCTGTTTGATGACAGGAAACGCGTTGTTAAGCTATTCAAATACTTTGAATGTGCGTCGGTGGCACAGTGGTTAGGACTCTCGCCGACCATGCACATGGACAGGGGTTCGATCCCCTGCCGACGCACACCTGATATCTATGGTCGGCCTGTAAAATTTGGGCTACCGATATCACATGCTGAAAATTCCATACCTGTACCAAAAAATACGGTGTGGAATAACAATAATCAAAAAATAAAATAAGTATGTCCAACAAGGAGTTTTAAACATTCATAAATGCAGAAAAAGTGCAGAAATCAAAACTACCTTCATTATTGCCTTTATCCGACAATGTATTATCAGTCTGTGTGAAAGAAGGGATCTCTTTAAAACCTGGAAAACCATTAGAACACCAATGACGATGATTATTCAGTGTGAAAGCAACTAAGGGATGAATATCACCATCTGACAGATCATTCACTTGACCAAGTAGATTCAATTCTAAAATAATGAAATGGAAAAAAACAAAAACATAATGGACATTGGCACCAGTGGTAGTGCACTTGATTTTACCCCATAATTATCAAAATTTAGAATAGAAATTATTGTGCAGAAACACTTTTATTAAATTGATTCATAAGAAATTGAATTCATGTAAAAAATAGTTGTGAGTATATAAACTACAACAAAACAAATCTACTTCCCTTTCATCATGAGCTGACATTAGTTAGAGAACCATTGGAAAACCTGGGAGTACTGGACAGCTGTTTCGTCCTTCAGCAGTACGCACCCACCGGGATTCGAACCCAGGACCTTCTGGTTACAAGGCGAGCTTTGACATCTTCATTCGTGCCGCCTACAGTTGAAACAACGCTGCCTAGATAAGAGGAACTGGTGAAATTCTTCAAATTCCTCCCACTGATGGTAATCAGCGTTTGCTGTTATTGATGGTGGTGCTTACGTATCTCCACTCTACTCTATGTTCACTTGAAGTTCTGTCTTGACTGTTTCTCCCGCCAATTCATCGGTTTTCGCCTGTAGATCTCCAACTTTGTGTGACATTAGACAAAATCGTTCGCGAAGTCCAGATCTTCTTGTCCGTAGCATTTACAGTGATAATTGTATTCAGGAATGCCTAATACTACTTCGCATTAGTTTAGAGTTGTATATGTAATTGACGACAGTCCTCTTAAAGGTCTTCCTTAGAAATGTCTACCTACACTTACTTGTTCGTATCATGGTAACTGAAATTGTTATAGAAATAGCTTAGGTGGCGAAAACCAAACAAGTCTTTCCCAGTTTATACTTTTGTTTCTTTAACAGCTATATTGGCCACACAAAGCGCACACTTTCCAAACGCATCTCTGAGCATTATCCGGCATGGTTAGCAAAAGGACAATACAATACAGTTACTAGCTCAATTCTTCTCGAGCACTCGGTGAACTCAAGCCAAACAGCTCCACCAGAGTCGTCTTTCAAAAGCATCTACAAGGTGAGGCCAAATGGTACAAAGGGCGTTAGGTTTCACCATTTGTGTATAGAGGAGGCATTGGAAATTCGTCAATACAACCCCAAACTCTGTATACAGAAAACTTTTGTCGAGTCTCTTATTCTACCATGGTCTTAACCTGTTCACTAGTCGTTCCCCATGAAAATCTTTCTAAATTTTACTTTTGGTTTGCTTTTACTTTAATAATTAACTCACAATTATCACTCTAACACGTTCCTTTTGTACATTTTCTTACTCTCTTCTCACCTATTAAATAGACACTCAACTGCCTTTCTTCTTACTCAATAACAATTTTAATCTTATCAAATTTCTAATACTTTTTCCCCTTGAGTTGTGGAGTATTACGTAATTTACAACTTATGTTTTTACTTTTGAAGCCACTTCTGAGTAATCATATCAGTTATGTCACACCCTCCCCTACTACTCAGTAATGGACTATTATAGATTTTTGGTGAATATAAATACGATTGTACAGCCTCTGAAGACGATTTTGTCGATAACGATAACTTTCTTCGCTGAATTTCATTTTATTTTCTTTATAGCTCAATGGGTATTTTCGGTGCTTTAGCAACTAGTCTTTAAGAAATGTTCAAATAATTGAAGTTATGAACGCCTTCATTAGTTTTTCTCTGTAGTCTTAAACTAGATAGCAGTAAAACTTAAACAATCATATGATTGTTCTCCTAATTCCTAATGTGTCACGTCCATCACGTTAAGGCTTGTGGTAACACCTGACTGCCAGAAATTTACTATGTATTTCTCTCTTCATATCTCTGGCTGTCTGTAGGAAGGCCTAAAATACTGAATCAGCCTTATGCGGTCAATTATGAAGCACGATAATACCATTACACACTGTGACACTCGTGTCTTTATGAGATTAGGAGATAAATATCCCCTGGCTGGCTTCCAGAAAATTGGAAATCATTATGACTATATCAATAGTGGTATACAGAGTCATAGTCTAACACAACAAGGTAAATCACCCAATTATACGTGAATAACATTTTTGAAAGTATTACTAGAATATTTAAATCTTTTAGGATATATGCTGCCCACAAATCAACACAACAAATTCGTTCCATAATAAGAAAAGCAGAAAACGCAATAGTAAAAGAGGACAAAACCAGCATCGTTTCTGAGATAAAGCGCATAGGATCTCTCCGTCAAGTGTGTAGCACATATGAGTACTATCCTTTTCAAGACCCATATTTGTTATACATAAACAACTAGGGGATGATATTCGCAGACAGTGCTCCCTTGTTTTCAATAGTTTTCGAATAGATATCAATTCACAACGAAATCTACCTTGAAATCAATCGAATTCCTACAAATCAACACTTGGAGAAATAAAGTAAATCCTGCCATTTGCAATCACTGACATAATATTAGTGTTTCGGGTTAGGGTTAGGACCTAAACCTACTTTTATGTGGAATCTCCGTAACCGCATATACTTTTAGATGTTTTCCTAATTTACTCTATTCACTAGAAGGTAATTTAGTTTCTTGCTGATATGTCTGACATCAGTTCAAAGTTCTTCGCAGTTTACGATTAGGACAGAAACGAGCTCATCAGCGGTGTATCCGTTTTGATTCAGTTCAGAGGGTTATGTTAGTTCAAACCACCCGATTTCTGACCTCAGACGAGCGAAACGGCCATCTGGTACTCACATCACTTCTGCTTGCCTAATCAAACAGCACTACTGGTTCATATGAGTGGTGTGTGCAACTACCCATCTCAATTAGTCAGTAGTACATAGTTTCACACATATAGTGGCAACACTGATGTATAACAGAATTCACTATGTTTGTTTTTCTATCTTATAATGGTTAAATACATAGATCGCAAAGTATTATTATAATTGTTTCCTTTAATTCCTAGCGGAACATAGGGCTTCAGCCGTGCATCTCCATTGCGTTCGGTTCTCTGCTAGAGTCTCCACCTGGCTCCAAGTCTGCCCACAAAGTATGCAACAGTATCTCTGTGTCTTCGGATTCCAAACTGACGGCACAAAAATAAACGGTTTACAAAGAAACCGCATATTTTCATCACTTACTGAGCCAATTCAGTAATAGATGTTCTGGCACAGTAGACACATTATGATACGATAACCGAAATTAAAGAAGACTGCTGGAGCGATTTAACTGGTACATCACTACACATACAAAAAATTAAAGCACTGAATACTCTAGACACGAAATACTGTCTAACAATCTTCATGAGCTGGGTCAGAAAGTTCCCACTATATACAATCGTATACAATACTACATAGCTTAGTGTAGATTATATGATACAGAAAATAAAATCTGGGTAAATTAGTCATATAAACACATGAAGAATAAAACCTTATTCGAAAGCTTAACGAACCATAGCCGCGTTAGCAAAAGAAGGCACTTTTTGTCACAAATATTGTCAGCCTCTCATTCTTATTATTGATAAGAGTCAGAAGACAATGAAGAGGTGTAAATGGAAAACACATTCTAGCGACTTCAGTGTAGAAGAACAGGCGGTGATTGAAATAAAAATTGAAATGCATTCAAGGCACAATATCTGTCACGCACACTTTAAGTATTGTGAAATGATATAAGTTCTAGCTGCTGAACAAAATTATCTTGAGTTATTCAACTACTGCTATATGACTTTCACGCAGAAATATTTGACATGATACCATAACTAATGGAAAAAAGTTATACACATAATACAAATCGAGAAGGAAGAATCAGGTGAAAGACAAATACTGTTCAGTTTCACCCTATTATAACTGCCTCCCAGAAAACTACCTAACTGCATGGGTTGAAACGTACTGACTGCCTGACTGACGAGCTAACGCAAAATTAGCGCAGATATGTACCAGTTTAAGTAGCTACACTTCTGAGGTATACAAAGTAAGTAAATACAAAGATAATAAAATATACAAACATGCATATGACGAGGAAAATAATGATATGGATATTAGGGGAATTTTTCCAGATACGGAGGACGACAAAGAATGAATGTTTCTGCGCCATTGTGAATGAATTTGACATATAACCCTAACTAGTCTCCAACAATTGAACCTAGGGGTTATGCTGATCCTAGTCCAGCAATCTGCACTTCCCTACGTGGCTCAAAGCAAGTGTCTAAGACTTAATAGCATATTTTGACGTGGGAAATTTCAAACTAATCCTGGTTTAGCTGGCATCGGTCTTCGAGGAAGGCAGTGGTACAGCATATATCCTAGCTGACTTGGTCGATGAGGCTTCATGGAATTGCCAGTCGATTTACACTGACTAACACAACCTATCTGTTACTTAATATATAGCTCAATGGAGAGTCAATGATCAAAAATTTCTTATGTCTTTATACATACTAGGTTTAGCCATGTCACACTGGTATAGCAAGACAGAAGGAATTCTTGATCAATATATACAATTACAAACTTAAAACTTGCTTAACACCCACACTTAATCTCTGCATGAGTATATGAACTATGATCATGAATGCCATATTGGTTAAGCGGATTTCCCTATGTTTATCGCATGAAGATGTACACTGGAAGGGTCAATAATATACATCAATCTGACGTGACATCACAGACCATTATAAAATAGCCAGCATTAATTTAGCCAACAATACATTCCCAATATCATTAAACACCTCAGAATTAAACCACCAGATGCTATATCTGTCTTGTTTTAGGTGAGAAACAACTTTTATAAATTCAACTCCAGCTGCAGATATTTACACCTAGTGTCTTACCAAATTACGTAAATGACATCAAACAGCTGGATACGTGCAAACTTACACATTTTAGACCATAGAAATACACGTGAAGGGAGTAATACTTAGATTCCACTTAAGAGTTCCATAAGGAGATGCAATGGGTCGAGTCACAATGATGAAATCATTCCACATTGGAAATACACTTAGTCTTTCATTCCTTCTCGAATAAACCTGCTGGTCTCTTCCACATTTTAAAAAGTGATTTCCTTTCGGAAAAACGCTACTTTGGCTGCATGAGTGTTAACTGACCACTGTGTCCTAGGACAGATAGCATTTGTGCTAATGACCAACTGAAGGGATTTTAAAGAGATCTGACAGGCTTTCTAAGCGTCCTTGCACATTGTTAAACAACATACCATATTCCCTACTGATACTAGAAGCATTTTTGCTGCTTATAAACACTAAGTGAGGGAATTACCACTTAAAAGACTTGTACAACAGTTGATAGTGAGGTTATATTAGTTTTAAATGAACGCCACGGTGAGAAACAAAAAAATACGTCTGTGAACTGGACTATTTTTACTCCTTAACCGTTTCGCACGTAGAGGATGGATTGACTATGTCTAAAATAATGAAAATCCCTAAGATTTATTGCACTTTAAACGAACACCAAACAAGCCATACGAAATTATATCTGACCTGCATTTAATTTCTCCAAACGTACTATTAACTTCAACACAGCTGATGGAGACGCAGAAGCTAATGTCACTGTCGAAACGGGTGCATAGGAACCTAAACCACTGGAATTAATTCCACGTACTTCATAAGTCTATAAACTAACTAATGTAACAAATTATTAGCTTACAGCTTCAACTTTGCGACTTGCATTGCATTTTTTCAAGTGTCCTTCAAGATTTGAACGATTGACGAAGCTGTGAATTGATGTTAATTCTAAGGACGTCTTACTGTTTTGGATCCAGAGGACAAGCTACCTTATCTGTTGAAGTTTCCTAAACGGCAGTTACACGAAATACTGCACTTACACTTGTATGAGTGTAACAATGATTCGAACCCTGAACAACCAGCTGACGGCAGTATCTCTGCTTATTTTTGATATAATATCCACATCTGTCAGACGCCATTTAGTCGTTAACTACTGAAATCGAAATCAAAAGACATGTATGAAGAAAATGTGAAAACTAATTATATTTTGTTTATTTCATTCAACATCTTTAATCATACTATCCAAAGGTGAGGCGTATTCATCCATAAAAGATTTATAGTACACTGAATGAGATTTTAAACAACCCATTAGTTCAGAGTGAAGTTTAACAAATAAATTGCGATTCTGCTGCTTTTCAAAAGCATCTTCATTTTTCATGAATTTGTCTATATTTTGCATAAAGTTTCGGAAGAAGTATCCACATGGACCAGATATGTACGAACTAACACAAGAACAGTGCCAATTGAACTGACCATTTTCGGTACGGAATCCAGGTTTTGAGAACTTACGATCAATGTCATAGTAATCTTCAAGACGTAAAGTTGAACGGGCGTCCTTTTTGTTTAGAAATATAACTTCATGCTTATTTGAGTAGGACATTTCTAAATTCCTTCGATACTAGTCTGATTTGAAAAATCAGGTGGTGGGAATAACGAATACACTCCAAACTTGGCAGAACGAAGCCCGCTGTAGTACTCCTACGGGCAGAAACCCACTTCCTAATGCAGTGGATACACTTCCAAAAATCAGAAGCTAGGAAAATTGATCAAAAACGAACCATTATTTCTTTTATTAAGTAAAGAAAATATAAAACAGTTACATAATGTCCCCATCAAGTCAACAGGACATTATCAGAAGCATGTTTTTCTGCAAAAACCCAATTGAACTGGGTTGAACTACTCATTGATTTATCGAATTTACTGAATACTACAGAAAAAAGCACAGCAATCGTAATACTTGACAAGATCTGTCAGTTTCAAATGCTGTAAGCGCAACAAAGTGTTACGAAGAGTGATGATTGAGTGGCAACTGTCGAATGCACGCAAATAAACTGTTGCCTTAGCTATGCACTGACAAAGTATGATGAAACATATTTAAGTCCTATATTCTTCACAGATGAGAAACCATAATTCAGTGATCAAGGGGATGTAACAGCAAAATAAGCTGTGTACGATACTCATGTTATTTATTTTCATACAAAGTGAGTAATCAAATAATTGATACAACTTACACTTAGAGCAAGAATCTATACTTGGTGTTTTTAGTCCTTCGGAAAAAAGCATTTAGAGCAAAATCATATTTTTCTTTAATTTGGCGGAAGATTGGTTTTAGCTATTGAACTTAAAGTTGGGACTCATTTTCATTAACAATCACTGGGAATAATAGGAAATGAGGGGCTGATACTAAAATCCCTTCATTTTTAGAGCTAGATCCTTATATCACAAATAAAATACATGATGCTTACAATTTATACATTCACAGAAAACTGTTTACGGCACGAGCACTCAAAAACCCTACTTAATATACAAACACAACTGCACAAAACATACATCCCAACAACAGAAAAGAGGAATTTAGTTAGTCAAACCTGTCACGCATGATGTTCTGGAGAACATTTATTACGTGAAGAATAAAGAATGCTTCAGATATATTCCCCTCAGAGGTGTTGTTTTTGGACATAATAACCCAGTTTCTATACATAAATTCATCCTGAAGTGTTGACGGTATGCCTGGTTGGCCAAAAGTCATTCGGCCGCGATACCTATTTTCTACAGTCACCTCATTTAAATTATAATCTGAATGAGGTAACTCATCTTGTGTCATACTAATTAGTAGTAGATAAGATCAGGAGACAACTCTTGACACTCAAAAGTCACCCAAAGCGACAAATTGGCAGAACCAGGCTAGTTTCGCTTTCGGGAGATGGTGAAAAAGCACTTTAACAGCCAGACAAAAGTTGCTGTACTTTTTGACTGGTACGCCACCCAGTCGAAGAATTTTTTCAGAAGTGAAATATGTGGGTAAACATGTGGGTAGTTTTCCGTTAGAAAGTAGGGAAAATTAGGCTATTTTCGGTCTTAACAGGCATAAGGTGGGAAAAGCTGGGCTACTTCCGACGTAATCAACAATAGCGTCCCAAGAGTGCAAACGCTCTAATGACTTTGAACGCATCATAGTCGTTGGCTAACGGCACCTGTCATTATCAGAGCTGAAATATCAACGCCATTCACCAACTAAGGAGTAAATTCCACCTAGATCACGTTTTTAAGTACTGTTTGGATAATGTGTTAATAACACGTTGGGGTTAGGATTAAGGTCATAATTAGCATTAGGGCTAGGTTTACGGTCAGGATAAGAGTTTTAATTAGGGTTAGTGTTAAGTTTAGGGTTAGGGTCAGGATTACGGTTGGGTTACACCTAGGGATAGATTAGGAGTTGATGTCATTTATTTTAATTTCTTATCCCCATTTTCCTGGTGAGTAGTCTTCGATAATCTTACTGGAAACCATAGTAATCCAACCGAGGGCTTTTGAAAAAGACAGTACAGTTGGATAAGAGAGATAAACAATTCACAATAAACAGCATCTTTATTCACCTCGCTGAATACATGTACAGAAACTAGTCTAACTTAACAACTTATACTACCCATTATAAATGGGATGTATTTTGAAGTCATGTCAGAGAAAGATACCCTATTTAGTGTGTTTTCATGCATTGTCTCGTAAGCGTACGTCATTTTTGTGCGAAAGTCACTTATTTTTATGGTTGATCGGCTGAAGGTCACTCGTGCTTTCGCATCCCATGAGACGCTATTGTTAAACTTTAACCTAACCACATTTTGACCACGTTTTCACCGATCAAAATTGTCCACTTTGCTCATGTGCACTCTCCGATTGGGCGTAGTTGACTGGGATACATTGTACTTTCTTGAATGTGATGGGTGTGCAAAATAAGTACTGCATATTATACAAAAACTTCCGATCCAAACTGTTAAACCATGTTAATTAAGGTATAGGGTGCGCGAACTCACTGGAAATATAGAGACGCACCCACTGCTTACGAGTAGCTGAGTACCTCAAGGTCACACAATTCAAAGGGATGTTATCCAATATCCAATATCGTTTTTACGAGCTAGTGTAGACTGAAATTAATATCAGTAAAAAGTTTGAGCATTTTAGGTTAGATCAAATAAACTATAATTATATTTCAATAGCAAATGGTGAGGACCTGTGACATTGTGTCAGCGAGATGCAGTGACGATCGTTCGTCTGTTCGCTGACAAATGGGTGTTTCATTTTAGTGTCCCACTCAACCTGCATTCTGACCAAGCCTCTAATATCAGGAGCCAACTAATATCTCATATCTGCAATACCTATGGAATTCTTAAAACTCTCAATGTTTCAGACCACCCACAAGGAAACTGTTTGTCGGAGCGGACTAACAGAACAACCAAGAACGTACTTCTTGCCTTCCTTCGTCAAACACATGAAACCCAGCGGGATTGAGTTATACCACAATACCTACCCACACAACACCTTTTAGTACAGTACTCCGTGAGGTCTGTTCCTTCTTTGCTCATTTTCAGCCATGAACCTCGCCCCCAGTTGAAATCTAGATGCCAATGCCACCGTGAGAAACAATCGACTGTGTGTGTAGTCCGAAACCCTGCAGGCGGCTAGAATTTGCGTGCGCTCACTAATGCTCTTCTGGAGAACACCCTAGAAATGTCTATGATCATCCCACTAGCAGAACCACCTATTTGGCAGGCTAATATTTATGGTTTCATTGGCCGTTGAGTCATACCGGCTCATGTCCTAAGTTTTATGTCCTATGTAAGTGTCCCTATGAGACAGTACACCACTGACCGCCAACTACGCATATCTGGTAGCACCTCCATCGACCAAACGACATCGTGGCGAATGTGTGCTGTAACTGAGTGAAGCTACATCATCCAGCTATCCGAAGAGAACTGTTGTCTCCATCGCTACTTCCACTTGCCACAAGCCACTAAGAAGTACCAGCCAAAGGGAGCAACACAGTCATGCATTGAGTGTCGTGTCTACAGAGGAGTAAATAAACACTGCAGGGCGATATTGCAAATGCACCGAAGATCAAATAGAAGTATTTCACCTATGCAAGATATATGCAATGATGGAAAAACTGCTTACGTGCTAAGTCAAAATTAATGTGAAGTTCAGCGCAGTCGGTCTATGGTTTACTGATCACTGGGAGTATTGTGCCTATGTGAGATACTTCTATTCAATCATAAGCGCAGTTGCGATATCTCTCTGCTGCGTTTTTTGATTGAGCCCTCATAGGGCCCATTACGTTACAGTGATGGATCCTGCCAAAGACATTAGAGACATTGCCGAAGTACTTTGCTGACCAAAAGCATCAATAAAGGTATTGTTAAAAGTGTAATTTGCTTGTAGACTGATGAATATGAGTTTAACACAGAACCACATGTCTTCAAGTTATTCTAGGCGCTGGGAAATTTCTGCAGGTACAAGTAGGAGTTGCGAAGTCTTCTTGACCGTTGTCAATGTTAAGAGCCACTTCATTTATGTACGAGTCAATATTCAAACAACGTCTGTGGCAAACGTCGTTGGAATATATTTTAGCAGCAAAGTGAGGAATGTTTCGTAATATCAACATGACTGATGCTGGTGCATGGTATTTGTGAAGCTGACAGCTTTTGACGATTGCTTCAGCACTTCAGTGTTTGTGTGGTTGTGTATTCCGCCTAGACGTTCAGTACCTGCATGCATGCATTATGTCCATTCTTCGTGAATAACTTCTCAGGTGTCTGTGAGAGCTCTTAGCTCTATTATCGGTTTTGTTAAATGACAAAAGAGCATTCTGAATATACGCTGTGGCCCATGGTATGCTAGCAGAAGTTAAGATCAATAGGTTTCGACCTGACCAACAACCAGTCAAAATCCGCTAAATATATTTCCGGATCTTAGCACGACTATGCATATCGTGAACAGCGGATAGACCTAACAACTGCCTGGATGAGTTGTAAAAGTTCTTGTAGACTTTTGTCGATAGTAATTGCACTGAGAAAGCTTGCACCACCTGACTGAGTGATAAATCTCAGTCATTTACCACCCCACGCTGGAATTTGAATTGCATTCACATATTATCCCTGGCCCAAGTAAGTTTTTATTATGACTTATCATGTATCGAACAGTCCTGGGGATATCTAGGTGTATTTAGGAAAGTGCCGATATTCTGACGAATTTCCGGAAAGATTTCACAATAAGCCTCCCCGAATCGGCCGAACATCTTCCATGAAGCTTAAGTAACACAGTCAAAATAAAGGTCCTCCAAAGATTGACTCCCAAGAACACATCGGATACAGGGAAGGCCATCCCAAATCAAATCATTCCTGCGATTTTGGACATGGAGCGAGTATATATAGGGTGGTTCTAAACTACAGCAGCTAAAAGCAAAACTACTCGGTGAACGTAAAAATGACCTTGGCAAAAACTCTATTAGCCAGTCAGACGCGCCAAATGCAAAAGTGCATGCCTTGAAAAAACTTTTGTTAAAAAAAGTTACATAGGATGAAATTGTTGTAGAAGTTCTAGGAAGAGCTCCTGATTTCTCCCATCAGTCTGCATAAGTAGGTTAAACCAATTGCTGCAGATGGATTTGTCGAGATAACTGTAGACTATCGTGTTTTTCTTCTCTTCTCGAAGGTATTGCATTGAAGCACTTCAAATGAACACTAATGCTGCTTTCTACGTTTGTATTACTTGCGCGTTATTCAGAATATTGTTGGCACATACGATGAAGAATGGAACAAATTCCATTCTTATTCTGTTCATCATCGCCAAGCTGGTCCTTTGTATCTGTTAATAAAAAAATAATGCTGCACTTTCCCCTCTACTGAGGAGTTTTATAAATTTTTGAACCCTTATTAATTGATAAAATGATAATGATCACAAGGCCTGTATCCTGTGTGTCTTACTCTAGCACCTGCGTATCACCTCTCTTCTTACTTTCCATTAACGCAACATGTCGTAATTCCCGCATGAATTTGACTGACTATAAGTATATTATAGATTATAATTTAGACTTAAACCAATACATTATAATCTATTCTTGTAAAGTTTCTAGAGGTTTTTTCCATCTTTCCAATTTTCAATGTCATAAAACAGTGTTCCATTTGAAATTGCACTTGTCAAATATGATCATGCCTGTACAAACGGTATGTCAATCATGTAAATGCTTAATTTATGTGAAATATATTATTATTATTCACGATTGTAATTTATAGCACATCTGATCGTGCCTGTAAAGATGGCGTGCATTTCATGTAAACTTACTCGTTTATACGAACTATAGTCATTATTTTGTCATTTTTCAGGTTAATGTCATGTAATCCCACTACTCGCTGCTAACCAGAAGTCAAACTACCTCGATGGTATTTCAATTTTATAAGAACAGTTTCATCGGCTGGACTTATCCGGCATATTGGTTGAAATTTCGCTCGGCAAATTTTTTTTGTCAATAATTTTTAATAAAATTTTGTTATATGTTTTCTGGATTGATAGGAATTCTCATTTCCTGGCTAGTTATGTTGGTGTCCGCGTCATGTAATCTGACTGCGACACACCTAGCATATTGGTTGTAATGATTAGTGTTTCATGCTGAATGCGTCAAAACATCTCTACAATGAAGAAGATGGGGTAGCTGGAGGGTAATGTCATCTACACAAATAGTTTATTTCTTGTAGAAGCTGCAGCTTTTGACATAGTGTCATTCAATGAAGACTACGTCAGAATGTGGCTATTTTCGCGTAAAGAACAGTACTATTTTACAAAAGAATGCTATCAGTACATGGGAATCACCTTTAAATGCCAACAGAACGTAAAACCAACGTGTAAACGAACGGCTACGGAATTGCAATCCAACATTACCGACTAACATGGACGAAAATGACCTTTGAGCGTTTCACTCCATCAATGACCTTGAGCATGCGGGATAATTTCAGCCGTTTCATCCACATAAGCAATGCCAACAATTACACATGTCAAACTGTTAATTTTCCTTGATATTGTATCGCTGCATTGGTGATACCACTGCACTACATAAACTTCTGTATACTCTGTTGTTGTTGTCACTGGTCTATCAGGAGCCAGTTATGACACATCACCATAATCGTAGTTACAGGCAACTTCGACTTGGTGCAGAAAGCACCTGCAGCATCCATAAATTTAAAGAACGGCATACCTTCTTGAAACGACTTTCTATTTGAGCAGTGGTCGCACCTGTAGACAATTCCGTCAATACGGTGGGCGTATCTTCCCAAAGACATAACACCTCCACATCCACATATTTTCTGTCTTCCTATAAGTCAGTCCTCAAAAATGTGATTACATACTACATCTGGATGAAGTTTGCTACGGAATTAGTGTACGGCATCCATAAATGAGCCTTTGTACTATGGACTCATTCATCTGTTCATTATGTTTTTAAGTTTTGTCCGATTTAGAGTCACCAGTATTCTGCTTTATTCAAAGGTGCTTCTTCTGGAAATCCATAATTTTAGGTGGGCTGTGGCTTTTAAGATTGCGATGAAGGCTCTAGGGTCCAGGTTAGGATGACTTCAGTGTCGCAATCTCGAATACACCGTGTAAACGGATATATATCTTTCATTCCTTCTCATCCTGGAACAGAGATCATTCACCGCTAAACTAAGTCACCGGAAGTTGCCATCCCTACTACTTTGAAAACTTCCATTCTCAAAGGTCATTCTGCCTCGAATATTTTTCCTACAACCTTGCATTTGCTGCAGCTTGCACTGTCATTATAGCCTACTATCATTTCAACGTCCACTGTGGCCGGTGCATGAAAGTGGCTCTAAAACAATAGTTTACATGCCTGTTCCGTCTGATTATGTGTATGCCTTGACCTAATATATCCTTTAGCTCAGATATTAGGTCGGTGCATTACTCTTTGTTACTACTAGATTTGCCAGCACCACAGTGTGAACCTATAAGGAACACACTACTTAAAAAAGGCGCCGGAATTATACCCAACAGATGCCAAAGCTGCTGGTTTGAAGATTTTGACGTGGACAATCCACCAACATTCAACTGCAAATCAATCTTGTCGAAGGATGCTTCAACCAGAGACATCTCCGCACAATGCTGCAGACGTTTCAGGAGATAGATGTGGCAATACATTCCACCTCCATTTGGTCTTGATTCGCAGGGGCCACATATTCTCAGGATATTTCTAATAGCCATAGGTAGCTCAGGCCATCCCCCACGAAAGATCTCCTTTATTTTGTTGCCATTCGCTTTTGGAACGTTTGTGGTGGCCATGGTTTTGAGTGGCATATTTGCCATGTCATCATGTTCAGAATAGACTTTTGGGTATGTTTGTGAAGTTGGTGGTGGCCGCTGAAAAGTCGTGATTGCACTACTTGAGTTTTCATGTACATGGAGTTATTATTAACAGAAAAATCCTTGGCATTCGTAGGGAGGATGGCAGGTACGCCAGACTCTGGTAACATCTCGGCCAGTAGCTGATCACAGCTACGTTTAAACCTTCTATTTGATGTCCGGTAACTGCAGTTCATACGTTGGTCACATACACGTAATCTTTTCATACTTAACAGAGTGCATTTAGAATAAGAATAAGAAGAGCGTTTAAGGCACCACATCGACCACTTACCTGCATTGTGTAGTGTTTTAAAGTGTGCGCACAAGGATGACTGAAATTCACGTAAACAGAGTAATACTTAGCAATTAACGAATGCGTTTGTGTCTCTATCTACTCTGCTGGTTGGTCAATAGGCATAGACCCACATATAAACTTTGTTTGTGAAATAATGAGTCACACAGGTTGGTTTATTTAGTCTCTCAGACCACTTCAATTGACATCAACAGGAAGTATACTGACTGCATATATTATCATCGTCAAAGTGATAACAATGCATGTGTATCCCTGATTGTTAGTTGATCGTGAGAAGTACGTGATCCATCATCTTCATCCCCTTTTTCCCGCCTATATTTGATTTCTTTTCATCCTTGATAAAAGGTTCTCACTTTTTGTCATCCTTTTCCCACCGATGTCACTTTTTCTTTACTGTCGTCTTGTTGTGTGATGTGTTTTTGTCGAGACTGTTGCCTAATCTGGCTGTACTTGCTATCTTATTGTAGTAAGGGGACAGGTGATTGGATTTCCCCCCTAAACGTCCAAACTGGTACCTACGTATCCCCCTTAGGTGTCTGCAGTGGATGAGCTCTAACATATATTTAATGGAAAACTCCAAAGAATTCCTCATTTAAGCGCTTAGATAGATGTTTGTAGTGTCCACTAAAGGTGAAGTCATTGGATTATGATGGATGAAAATGTAGAGCCCATGGGGGTTTAAGTTGCCTATGATATTAGTCCTAGACGATTTTATTATTCAATGTTTCACAATCCGATCATCTCAAGAAATATACTGTGCAATATTTTTGGCTCATGCACGTTACTGCAAAGTTTCGAGTACTAATTTCCAGATTGCACAAATCTCACCGTTCGTATAATTTTTATTTCAATCCTTGTTGAGCTAACTTATCCGAAAATAATAGTAATGACATCATAGACTCAGATAAGGAGAACTAGAATAGTGTCTTACCGGGCCACTACTTAGGACAATCTCCCACCAACAATGTATCCAACTAATTCACTATTCACATTATAAAATGTTAGAAGCCTTAGAGACAATTAAGTAGGATATTATCCAATACGAGCAATTTCAGTTTGCCGAGTAGACCTAAATAGGACAGTTTTCCAGAAGATTAAGGACAATGGGCACTAGACTTACTAATAGATTATTACCTATGACCATTACCTAGTTTTTCCTAACTACCAGTAAATTTGTTATGTCAAACCATGTTACTCAAAAAATCTTCAACCAGGTCATCATGCATCATTTAAGCTAGGATTTGGTCATAGAGTTTTCCCAGTGACCTTAGTGACATCCTTCAAGCTAGCTGGCGGGCTATTAAATGCTGATCGCTTAAGGGTGTACGGAGAATATGCCGTAGATTTACGAGTACGCTGGGAAATGCCTCTTTACCTAAGCCTCTAGCTGGGAAATTCTGTTACTGAAGATTTTTCTATTGACATAGTTAGGAATAAAACTTGCATACTGGTCTCCAAAACTTCGAGAGATCCATGTGGAGCAGAATATGTGATTTAAATATAGCGTTTCTTCAATCCTTAAGCATGATCGGTAATTCTAAGTAATAGGAACCCAAACCGAAACGACCTACGAACGCGCAAACGACCCTATTAAGGACAACTTCGACCAATCAGAAGGCTAAAATACGGCGCATAATTGTAAAATATCGTTTATATAAAAGTAAAGCAATTTTAAAAATAGTTACAAACGACGAAGTTCTTGTATATGTTGCAAAAAAGCTTCCAGTTTCTCATAGGAATCTTTATACTCATGTTAAACCAACTTCTGTACATAAACTCATCCAGATAACTGTATATCATTGGATCTCTTGATCCGTTCACGAATCTAATCCTTTTTTTCAGGTGACTCCAGAAACTTTCGACGCAATTATTATGAGTTCCATCCAAAGGATTGCGAAAACCGTCTGTTTGATTGACTACATGATGAATATACCCGAGATTCGACAACTGACCATAACTACTCCATTCGTCTGTGTAAATAGTGGTCCCGGGCAGCACTAAGCGCTGGATCCAATATCCAATATCGTTTTTACGAGCTAAAATAAACCAATTTGATTTCTTTGTGCTCGCCTCTTGATTGTGAGGTAGAGGTTCCTGATCTTCGGTAAACGTCTGCGTAGCTCGTCCCGCCACTCGACTATCGTAGCTTTGGTTGACTCCAAAAGGAGTAGTGCAGGGATTAATTGTATGTGGTTTGTAGAATGAGGTGTGTTAAGACTGTTACTACTGTGAATGGAGTTGATTCTTTCACCAGTTGGTCCTTCGGTATCGTCGTCAATAGAAAAGAGATAATAATAATAATAATAGATATAATTAGTGGTATTCAGACTAACAGACAGAAGAAGAATAAGAAAACGTAACAACAGTCAGTCAACCGGTATATATATATATATATACCCGTAATAATGATAATAATAATAGGTGTAGTTAAAGGTGTCAGGAGAGTAAGACGGAAGAGAATGTAAAGAAGTGAAAACGACCAGTTCGATTGTCTACCTTTGAATGGTGTATGCGATTTTAAGGGGATAGGCCATTTGGATGCAATCCTTGTGTCGCTGCATGGTAAAGCGGAGTGCGTCGGCCGGGAATCGAACCCGGACCGATTAGGAATCGCAGTAGAGGTGTAGAGCATCCATAATTACGTCTAGAAACAACAGAGTCACTTGATTGGTTTCTCAAGATTGTTTGTGCGTTCGTAGGTCATTTCGGTTTGGGTTCCTATTGTTTAGAGTTGCCGCATGATCACCTCTTGTTTAAAGCCATCATGTGACAAAAGATAATAACTGTCGTAGCTGACAGTTCGTTGACTTACTAATAAAAAAGACATTATTGAATCACCAGCATTCATGTTTCCTAGTATTTTGTCTATACGAGAATAATACATTATTCTCGTATAATTTGTAGCATTCCATCTACCTTCAGTTGTTAAGATGATCTGTAGTCTGCTCTTAATTCTTGTGTTCAATTTGCGAAAATTTGTGAATAGAAAGTCGTTGTAAAGTTAATAAATGTAGTGTTGGCTGGCATATCACTATAGCAGCAAAAGCTACTACGATTGTTATTACTATTTAGGTCTTCAAGAAGAAAAGGATCATATTGGAAAGCATGTTTTTTCACAGCTGGGATTCTTTTCCCTCCCATGTGTGTTAAAATACTGCAGATAATATTTTCAGTAAACTTAAAATTGCATTATTCTTACTATATGAGAAATACCTAATCACCTAAACATACGTTGTAGCCTTCCAATGATTTAGGTTCGTACAGTAATATATTGAGCATTGGCATTGATAATGTGCAAAGCTTGCAGAGAGTAAGATCAATATCGATGCTGGTCAATCTAAATAAGAAATGGTTTTGTCCCTGTTGTTTGAAATACCGCATTAAAAATTAGTCTGTTGCTGGCCCTTCCCTATTAAATAGTAATTCCTAGGCTCATCTGTTGATATAAGTGAATAGTCTCTCGGAAGAGCATAAGGATCCCTTAACTCACTAGTTGTTACATTTCGAACCCTGTGATTTCTCAGATGGATGTGTCTGATTTAAATTTGAAGTGCTGGTTCTCTTTGAATCCTTACGTAATACAGCTACATATTGACCAGACTTTTGTCATGATGATTCTGAAGCTTCTGTTTCCATTTTCTGAATCGCGTCAGTTACCTTCTTCTTCCTCATCATCTTTTGGTTAAAGCTTGTCTAACCATTAGGTTATGAACACAAGAAGCGCAGCTTAAATGTTCAGATTTGAGCATTAGGCAATAAAAACATGTGCAGTCTGAAGACTCGTAACACTAAATAGGTGGCATGGGCTATAAAAACGCATGCTCTATGGGTTGCAGTTATATTTGGCTCGTTTATCTTCATCCTCTAGGAAGCTATAAACTTTGGTAGGTCAAACATTAGATAAGTTATAAGTTTAGTCCATACTTTTGTCGGCAATCTGGTCAATGCCTCACACAAAATTACTTCAGAATACCCAGCTCTAGTAAGAAATCTTGTATTTCCTTTTGTTAATTAGCCATTTTTCTAATAAGTGTTGAGGAATCTCCGTCTCACCTCATATTTACCATTTCATTTATGTAGCATGAATACACATTTGGTTGAATATTCGTCTAGTGATGAAGAGGAGAATAAGAAACTGGAACTTCCCTCGGCATTACAAGTCTTGGATTCCGATCGTTTGCGTTTTCCTGTTTATGAAGATGATCCTGCAAAACACAATTTTCGTACGAGATCATTTCCTCATGAGACTGGTAATTGGGCTACCTCTATATATATAGCGTGTAAGTACTACAGACTCATGCATTTTTTCTTAGGTCCTCATTTAATTTCTAGGCTGCTTAAGGCTATTGACAATCCTATAATGCAGTCGGATCTCGTTATAGATAATTTCCACTTTATGGACTCCCTTCACTTGAGTTTATCAAAAACATGGCCCATTTATTTCCATTGGATCGAGAATCTTATTTGTAATCTTCGCTCTTCTGTAAGCACTTTCGAGAAGTAAGCATGGTGTTTTCATATTTGGTTATCGGTAGATTTCACATTACTTTTGATGATGTAAACATATTGGTAAATGAGGAAAAAACAAGGTAATAATCTTTCAAAACTAATATTGTTTTTTCAGATCTTTTGTTACTTTATTAGCTTCTGCAGAATCTCACGTAGCGTTAATCCCTTTACTTAATTCTATAGACTCATGCGTCACAGCATTTAGAGGTCCAGAATATTATAAGGTGAAGCGAATAATTGCTTATTTATTCCTCAGGACCCGAAGTTCCATATAAGTTTCTTGTGGTGTATTGGGAATGTTCGGGAAAAGTATTCTGAAGATGTCTTAGAAAATTTTCTAGTAAGTGGAACACCTTGTAATTCCCCTTCTCCATAGACAAATTTGAAGAAAGTAATATTCACTGAGAGCAAACAAATGTATCATGAAGTAACGGATATAGTGTGCAAAAGTGGAAACAAATATTTCAGTATAAATTTGTTGTAACAATTATTTAGCAGCAGGATTTTTCTTTTTGTGTTATTTCCGGGTTGATAAACTGATCAGATATGTATATATTTAATATAAAAAATCTTTTCTTTTATCATTTTAAACGTCTTGGTGATACAGTGACCTAAGATAGAGTAGCGCTATGAGAAACAATTGTAGTTTTATTAAATGTTTTTACCTAATAACTTCAATGACTCCATTTGAAAAATGCACTGAATTTATACGTTGTTTTTGAGTAAGGTAGGCAAATCTAAATCATATTTATCTTCTAAGGAGAGATTTAGCATACCTATTGTTGTGAACTAATTGAACGAAACAACTTGTTTCTTACAGCTATGGTAGATTTCAAGTGTTTTTACCGTCCCGGTGAAAGACATCACCGAACTATAGAAAAATTTAACCATTATCGGCGCATGAAACTTTTTGCAGTTGTTAATTCCTACCTGCTTTTCTTTGTCCAGATATGTTAAATAATTGAATTTCTGGTTAACTAGTTTTGATAATCGATTGTTTTTTATCCTCCGAGAAAATATTTTTCATTAGACTGATATGACGTCAATCTGTAACTAAAACCACATGATGTTTTCAGAACAGCGTAATTGTGTTTCTAGCTTGAATGTATATATGTCTACGTCTCGTGGCTGTTAGCTCCCGTCAGCAAGGCATATCTGCAATCTTGGAGGAACTCATGTCCCTTCTAAAATTCAAACCCAGTGGTAGTTAGTGTACTTAATGCTTGGGAATCACTAAGCGTTATGCTTTTAAATTCTGGAGATTGATTCCGTAGGCACTGAAGCACATTAGGAGCAATACTGATACATTTTTACATGCGTTCCACGTGGAGGTGCGACTCATTGACCGAAGAACTCAACTTATATTCAATGAGTCCCGTTCGCCCTGGCTAACTGATTAGTATCATCAGTGCTTACAAATCGAATATGGCTCATCACCTGATATGTCCTATTTTGGACACGTCTGGATCTCCTTGGCATCCCATTGCGAAGTAGCTGGCAGGACTTCTACATTGCGTTAGAGGACGAATTACAAGGTACATGCTTGAGTTCGTCGACTGTATGAAAGGTGTGAAAGTGGGAGACAAATGCATATCACTCGATTTCGAGTCTCTCTTCATAAATGTCCTGATTACGGAGACGACTTATCTCCTATGGAAATATTTGGAAGACAACAACTTGAGTACTAGGATACCGATCCCCGGGTTTGAAAAACTACTTAGATGCACTTTGAACGTCCAGTTTACGTTTGATGGTATCATTTATAAACAACCGGATGCCGTGGCTATGGATCCCCTATGTGTATCTACAAATTTACTTGCTCGTGTGGGGCGAGATATATGGGTCGTTCGATGCGTATTTAATCTAAAAGAGCCAGGGAATATTATCTCGCATGGCTACAAAAATGTAACTGCTATAGTTGAACGTATATTCAGCACTGATCAATCAATATACGTGGAGAACCTATATTCAAAGCTATCTGCAAAATCAGTAAGCTCCCGCATACTTTGCGACCGGATGGAAAACCCTGATTCATAAGCACACAAGAAACTTCTCCGTTCCCTCCTTCCACCTTGGGTGTAGTTCCAATTTCAACCGTTGTCAGTACTGTATTATTACTATTTTGTGCATTTTTCGTATGACATCATTTTCTAAAGTAACCTATTTACTCTCTTCACTTAATACATAATTCATTTCGATACTTGTCTCTATGTTGTTTCACTAACATCCAGTTTTTTCTGAACGTTCTCATATTACGTAACTATAACCTAAAGTTACTAATCTCCACCTTCCTGTTGGTTGCAGTTTCGATTATTCATCACATTGTTCTGAATAATCCTAACTAATTTCTATTCTTGCTTGACAAACCTAATGTACATATACACATAAAAAATGATATATAATTGCAATTGCAAAGTGAATGGATTCGCAGAAAATAGACTCTTCGCTGAACTGTTTGCTCTTTTTTCCATGTCTGGATGGATGTTTCGCGTGAGTTGAAAATTAGCTAAGACACTAGTATACACTTGAGTCAGGTAAACTGTCAAATACTTTGTGGATAGATGATAGACAGGGGTAACGCTTTTATTTAAAGAACCTTAGAAATCGTGTTTTCAGTTAATATATGTCCAATGGTATTGTGTAAAATTTCGATATTCTCGTGATCACTCGCTGCTTGTTCTACGTAATTTGAAGGTAAGTTCGAGTGAAGTAGTTTGAAAGTGTATCATGAAGTGAGTGCAGTGCATGTATAGTCTTATTAAAAGATGAATTTGTAGCAATGTTATACTGAAGCATCATGTATTTATAAATAACAAATATGACATTTAACGTGGATATGCTGATGAGATAATCACAGAACCAGTAATACACAAAGTAGTAAGTTAGTGAATGAAGTAGTACTAAAACATATTTCAGGTGAATGATTTCTGTTCCAGGACGAAAAGGAATGAAATATATATATATATATATATATATATATATATATATATATACGTTAACACAGTGTATTCGAAATTCTGACACTGAAGATGATAAGTATATTTTTTCAAAAAACTATAAAATGCAGGATTATTATTTCGGCGGTTGTTTCGCAAGTTCACCCATTGATGTATAGGATGAAACTGGCTTTAGTTGTTGAGTGCGCATCAGGCCTTGCTGAGCCATGCTTGCCAAAAGGTGACCTTCTTTGTTCCAAATTTCCCCATATGAAAGCGTTAAGGCGCCACCTGTTTTTTTAATTTTACGAAAAATAAAATGTACGGTTAATATAATTTCCGGTATGTACTTCGTAAAACTGAGTGAAGTGGTCTTTTCCCAAGACTTTAGAATTCTACCACGTATTTTTTCAGTAAGGTTTGAAAAAGTACTACACCATATGTTGATGTTTACCATTCTGCTGCAAATTATGCCAATCCTTTATTTGATGGAAGATTCCTTCACACGATACCCTTTGGGTCATGGTTCGCATTGTGAGTCAGCATCTTATCGCACTGATTTTCATTATGGTTTCGGGTTTGAAAGCTTACAGAGCGAGCAACGTCAGAGAGTAATTACCCATGAGATGAGCAGATTTTCACAATGAACTAAACCGACGAAAATCCAACTAAATGGGTTCTCGAAGTTTTGGTTTAGTGATCAGCAATTTTGGAATAAAGAAAAAACCACGTCATCCTATATCGGTTCACATTGTACGTCGAGGAAGCAGCTGGCGACGCATCTGAAACTCGTGCTGTAACGATCTCAATCGATCTAGCTTCACAACCTCATCGACTGACTTACCCTTCTTACCTAACACAACGCCCAACCTCAATATCACTTACCGTGCTATACCACTTAACTTCGGATATAGAACCGAAACATCTGCGTCTGAAGACAGCGAGCCCTTTGATATCTTTCACTTTCAAAAGTCATGTTTCACAGTCATAGAGGAGGTCAGAGCGAACTGCTGAGCAGCACACACAGCCTTTGACCGGTAACTGGATATCACGTTTATGGTATGGCGAATCCATACGAGTCTTTTGTATCCGCGCTGAGATCTCGTCAGCATTCGGTCTATCGAGGCTGATGCAACTTCCAAAATAAGTGAAGTGGTCAACACGCTATTTCGCATCACTTTCTGTTTCTAAGTTAGGAGTCGATGCGGTCTAGTCACATGGCACCATCATATATTTGAAAGGGGCGAATCGCATGCCAATCATTCGAAGATTTCTACTCAAGGTATTGAGAAGACTGCTTTTTATCGGCGTCATTACCTAGAAGGACGATATGATCTGCATACTCTAAGTCAGCAAGACTGTTCCCCTGGTAACAATTCGATCCGTAGGCAGCTTAAGTCAGTTAGGTGAATTTCATTACTACATTTATGACGGAATTAAACAAAATTGGGGACAGTGGGCATTTCCGATGGAAACCACTGGTTATCATTACTTCAGATGACAACTCTCCCACCTGGATGAGTGAATTCGAATAGAGAGTGCCTTGGTTAGTGCGATATACTTTCTCAATACTTCACGGCCAAACATTGCCACAACACCTCACAGTCCACGGAGTCGAATTCCGTCTTCAGGTCAAGAAATATGGCGACTGCTGGATGCCGGTAATTAACATTATGTTCCAATATCTATCGAAAGGTTAAAATATGATCAATATACACCCTCTACCTAGTCTAAAACCTGTCTGGTTTCCTCGGGTTTGTTCCTCCCGAGCATCACAATCTACACATGATTATTGAGCCTAGAATTGTAGATACCATATTTGTCCGGCTAATTCCTCAATGTTTATCACAAGAAAACTTATCTCACTTCTTGTATACTTAGACCAATCTAATGGGACTATCTCTGATTCCTAGACATTGTCTAGTACCTTAGTTAATCCCAATAGCGATTTATCACCTACGTCTTTAAGCACCTCTGTAGTCATTCCATCAGGTCCTGTTGCTTTGCCGCGTTTCAGATTAGAGACAGTATTTGTCACGTCAATTACGGATGGATGACCGATGGCTACATCCCATTCAGATAGATGTTGGATGCTGAGCAAGTTGAGCGTGGCTGTAGACCAGCCAAACTGCCAGTAAAAATGTTCCATACAACGTTTCAGTCATCTATCCTGAGAGCTAATCAGGACACCATGTTTCTCAGGGATTACTTCACTTATCGCTTGCCTTTTGCCAACTATATAGTTGTCCGGTGTTATCCATCGCCGATGCCTTTCCCGTCTCTTTCACTCAAGTCGCCCACTACCGTCCACAGTCATTGAGGAGACTTTTCGTCAGTTTGCGTTTGAGCAACTTTCGCTCCTCGTTACATTCAGAGCCAGCTGGAATCAGTCTTCTTGCATCTATCGGTTCGGATGAAGTTAGGCTACCAACAGCATTTACCGTTGTTTCTACAGCTGAGTGGATATTATGCCAGGCTCCTTCAGGAGGAGTCATGTTGTCCATCTCAGTTACGCGTTTACCTGTTTATTCCTAGAACAGGGATTTAGTGTCCTGGTCAAATTATGGGAGTAAAGGCCTTATTGCTACAGTCTCTTTAAAATGTTCGTTCAATCTTAGGTGCACACATACACAGACTAGGGCATGATTGGAGTCTACGAATGTGTATTAGGGGGAACGGCAGTATCCTACCAACAGTCGCCATTGATAGCTTATCGCTACGTGGTACATCGTTGATTTGATAACGCAAGTCGCCAGTTTAGGCAATGTCTCTTTTTGTGACTGAAGATAGTCAACGTGGTTGGTTCGTCGGGACGGAAATCCGTAGGTGCCATCAATATATTTCTCAGACTGGTACAATTTTCCAACTTGAGCATTGAGGTTGCGTGCTAAAGCAACTGTATCTGAGTGTTTTACTTTTACCAGCAGACTAGAAAATTGCTGATAGAACTCATCCTTTACTTCGTCCGAACGGCAGTCTGTTGGGGGGCAAAGATTAGGAGAGGATATCGACGGATCTGTTCAGCCAGACAGTACGCATATGAGTATCCACTGAATTTTTCTGCTCTAGCACTCAAATGTTATCCCAATACCAGCATGTTCTCACAAACTAGTTGAAGAATTTCCTGACACCCGTAAGATGGATTTTACGGACTCACCGTGTCAACCAGGTGGAGTTAAGTGAATAATCACACTCTCCGCCTTTGCATGCGTGTCTTCGAAACACGACATACATCCATGGTTTCAGTTAGTGATACCTGATTTAAAAAGGGTTTTGACGTTAAATTCTCGAAAACGAAGTCGGCAGAGTGATTTTAAGAGACCATCAGTAGTATTTTTGCGGTTCTCGTGGCTATTAGTGGTGACAGAGTTAACAGAAGATGAGGTACTTGCCTATGGAATAGTACTAACAGGAAGAAAGCAACATGATTGTGACGTATATAAAGATGGTCGGTGATCATGAGAGCATTATGTGCTTTCATAAGTTTGTGGGCGGTCGTTCCTACCTGGTTGAACACACTGTAGAGGCTGATTTTTTCTTGGAGTACCTGAAACAGAAGAGCATTAGTATTGCATTACCACAGAGTTCAGGGAATAAGTACTTGAGGCCGGTCACAAACGGCGTCTTTGAATTGGTTTTTGGGAGATGCGTCCATATGACAGTCTTATAGCCGGTTAGAGACAGCCTCAAGGTAAGTTGGGATGTACAATTTTCATGATCGACAGTTTTTAAACCCCCTTCCAGCAACCTGGCATGATGGCCGTCTGAGGGAAGCATCTTACTGCTGTTACATCATTATTCCCCAGCAGCACAACTTCGCCCACAGATCCCCCCAATACAATGTAAACACCTTAAACTATGATGATGGTAACTGCCTTTAGTCTAATCGCTACTTAAAAAGACCTCCCTGGCGTGGCAGCAACTGTAGGAACATTAGTCAGTGCGATATGCAAGCCCAACCACCACGTCAATGTCGGAACCTACATATCCACTTTACTATCTATGTTCCACATGTTTAAAAAGAATTTATTATCCACAGTAAATAAACGAATTAAAAATGCTAAACTCACCTACGTAATTAGCTCGTGTTTCGAAAAGAATCCACTCATTTGGTTCAGGGCATATATCTGGATTGTGAAACCATATGCTTTGATTTAAAGTTACCAAATAATGAACATGATGTGGTTCAGTAAGGGCAACCCATAACAAAAGAGCATCAGATAAATACGCTAGCATAGCATCACGATAAGAGTGCAGGGGGATAGCTAGAAAAACAAATATTAGATATGCAAATAACACTTCATATTACTTTTATATACATTTATTATTTACGCAGACAATATTTTACCTTTAATAGTTCTACACACAATGCAGTTAATAAAAGTAGTAAATATTTAACCGATGGCCCATCACTAAGTGACCGTTACACATAACCAGGACGTCAGGTATAGAGCGATAGTTTACAAGATCGGCATGATAACGTGTGTAAATCATTCAGCATTTTGGGAGAAAACTATGACGATGCTTTTGTCCTGTTTTAGACTAATTAAAGCTAGTCTTTCCGATATTGTTAACTTTGATTTTGCTTTCTTTTGATTTTTCAGGGTTAATGCACATTGTGCTCGAACCTCTTCTGCTGTTGTCTTATCTATTGAACTTAGCGCTACTTCCTCTGGTTTTAATTTACTAACTGTTACGTTGAAATTTAGTCCTTCGTCAAGTACTTTTATCTCACTAGAGCTTAGTTCCCTTGATGAGAGGTTGATCACCCATTTTGTTTTGTCAAAAGAGGATGAAACGTTGTCGTCAATTTCATTTATTGTGTTTTTTCTTCCATTAGTTTGTTGAATTTTTTGATTTGTGTGGTTTTTGATTTTCTTAATGCTGATTCGCAACCTCTTTAGATAGATTGACAAATTATCAAAACACTTAGCACTCTAGATTAACTAATTCATATGAGAAGAAAATAAACTACATAACATTCAACTACAGAATGATGAAACAATGGTTAGTTTTGATATAACTAGTCTTTATACTAATGTACCAATCAATATAGCCTTAAAAGCAGTTAAAAAAGAACTAACTGCAGATCCTGAACTCACTCAAAGGACAAAGCTACCCATTGAAGAAATCATTTTAAAAATTCAGTTATGCCTCACATCTACTATCTTTAAATTCCAAGGCAAAATATATAGACAAACAGAAGGCGTAGCAATGGGATCACCAATATCCCCTATCGTAGCAGACATATTTATGAAAAGCTGGGAAAATGGTGCTCTTAATACATTTCATCCCAATCCAAAAATATGGTGGAGATATGAGGATGACACTTTCACAGTGTAATAAACAGAACATATCTCTAGCTTCTTGACACATATAAATTCACTAGTAGAAGGAATAAAATTCACATTTGAATCGGAAAATGAACACGGAAAATTAGCTATGTTAGATTGTAAAATAAAATGAATAGAAGGCAAACTGCACACTAGCGTTTATAAAAATCCAAAGCATTCTAATAAATATTTAGATTTTAATTCGTCTGATCCGTTAACTGTTAAGTGTCTAACAAACCGAGCAGTAGCACTAAGTAGTACAAGAAAAGACCTAAATAATGAAATAAAACAGATAGAAGAAGCGTTGGTACCAAATAACTATCCTAAAATTCATTAGGAAGATCAGAAAATATCAAAATCAAAATAATGGTGAAACTAATAATGATAACATATATAGGAGAGAATATAAGGCATCTACAGTTTTACCATATACGGAGGGGACGTCTGAAATCCTACGTATAATTCTTAATAAAGCAGGAATTAGGGCGGCATTCAAACCTACAAAGTCACTCAGGGACAAGATCTGTAGGTTAAAGGACCCTGTTGACCCAATTAGGCAAAATAATATAATTTACAAAATACCCTGCAATGACTGTGAGGTCAACTACATAGGTCAAACTAGTAGGTTACGAGTAGTTAGTTTGTCAGAACATAAGAATTAAGCTAAGGTAAGAATGCTTGACCCCGAGAAGATAGGTAATTTAGAAAAAAGCATGCATTAACATGCAACCACGCAATAGAGTGGGAGAGGGTTAAAATTCTAAAAAGTAATCTAGGTAAGTGAAGAGAGAGAGGTTGATTACTGAATCCTTGTTCATCGAATCTACACCCAACACATGCAATAGGAATGACTCATCACTCATACCACAAATATGGAAAATACTACTACCAATTAAATCAGGCGATGGAAAATAATGGAATTATATAAACGAAGTTAGAAAGTTGTGTGAGTTCCTTGATATGATCATGAGCAATAAATTTTGCTCGAAACGTCATCAGTAAACATTACTGTATAACACTGTGAGACTTTATGAAAGTAAGTTTTATCCATAATGAAAGTCTATTCTTGCGGTGCAAAAGAAAAGTACACAAAATCAAGTGACTGGGAGTCAATAGTCAAACTATTTTGAATTCTGAGATATTGACTGACTCATTAAGAACGAAGAGAGAAATAAGAAGACAGTAAAGAAAACGACTTACATGGGGCTTCTTTTAAACGCATCCAAGAATGCAGTCGACCGCCAACATTAGACTTAAGGCCAAGGCCATATTCTGGCTCACAAAATCTAGTTTCAATAGGCGAATTAGCATCAAAATTCAGAAACTGTTGTATGCGACCTCGTGCTACAGCTGGTAAACTCTCGCTAAAAGCAAAAGTATGAATAAGTATACAGTACGTTAAGAATGTAATCAAAAGTGAATACTTCTTAATCCTGTTTGAAAACATACTGGATATTATGAACAAAGTGAATAAATGTTACAGTATTACACAAAGTAAAAACAAAACCAGCACAGTCTCAAACAATAAACAGAGACACGCAAATACCAGTGACTGCGGAATCTTTGTTTGAGGTGGCTGAGGGATAGTGACAACAAACCAACTCCATAAAGGAAACATATCAAGCAAATAATAGATATAACATTGAAATCCGCTTCATTTTGACAGTGGTGTATAACGCCTGAATATGTTGATGCGAAATGTCTCTAAAACTGTACCTCTGTTGATATACTATACTCAAAGACAAAAGTATTTGAAGAGTACAGATTAGAAGTGGGAACGACTCAAAGGAAAATAAGTATGATTGATATACTTCACCACATACTTTTTAAATGTGTATCTACTCAAAGCTATGGATTTACTTATATCTATAAATATACATCCAAAACTATCATAAGCATCAGAAGACCGATTTGCCAATAGTTGGATTGCTTCAATTTATGGTATATGGTATTTATCAGTTTGAGCATAAAAAGATGACTCACTTAACCGAGGAAATTCATGTTTCTCAGTTTGATGAATAAGGAAAGTGACTCAGTGAATGCAAAGAAATTTGCACTTTTTTATTTTATATAAGATAAATTTTTTCATCTATAAAGTTACAACAAGCAGGAATTGGTTTGTCACTCGTGTTCATGTGTTAAAATCATCAAGCCAAGAATGTATTTATTAGTATTACACAAAAGCATGTTTTACGTTGTTCAATCAAGACATTTTTCAAAAGTCTTCAGTAAACAATTTACTATTATAGAGTGTTAGTATGTTACATGTTGTCATATAAAACCAAAAATCATACTCATTAAAAATGCAAAAATTGATTACCAAGAAAGGAGTAAATTGTGGTAAAAACTCACATATCAAGTGACTTTAAATACGTATTAAAATCTTGAATTTCTTCAACCGATGGAACTTTTGGCATAGAAGACAAAAAAGATGCCGGGTCTTTTTCAGGAGTTTTAAACGAACAATCCATGCGAAAGTAAGGAGTTACGACATTGTCTTTATTTATCGGGAAAGCTTCAACTAATCTATGGCAAAATGAACGTCCATCACGGAGTTTGGTAACATAATAATCATTTGGTTCTGAAACGCTCGCTTTAAAAATCAATGAAAAAAAAGATGAGTTAGGGAAATTTTAATTTGATATACAATTCCAAACAGTAGTACATCGCAATCAACTAACGTCATGACTGTACTTAGTCACTTGGAAATCTTTATCCTACGACTGTCACAACTAGGAAAGATGTCGATTATTGGGAGCTTTTATTATATGTGTATAAAGTTTGTTCAAGGTAATTGTCCCATGTGACAAGATGATACATACTGCATCTTTTGGCTGCATAAATTCCACGTGTAAATGTACAAATTTATTCTCCAATCCGGAAATTCAATAATTAACTTCATTGCGAAAAGCTGACAAGTTTCTTAACGTATATTCACTTTTGATGATATTAGATGGTTGGAGGTAATCGGCAGGAAGCCTTGGACCTAGGTTTCGTGCTAGTTGGCACTCACCAGTCAGCAAGGCGTATTTGCAACCTTGAAGGAACTCATGTTCCTTCCTGAGATTCGAACCAGCGAACCTGACTGATAGAATTCAGTCTGTACCAAAGAAAGGACCAGACACATCACACTAGTTACTAGAGTCCAATCAAAGTATATTCACTTTGTTGAATATATTATAAAAGTAGGTGGAAACAAAATTCAAGGCTTTTAGCATTGGTGAAAATTAAACAGTTGGCTGTCGACAACCAATAGGGGTACTCATGAGTGGTTACTTGTAGTAAAAGTCAAGTCTTTATAACTGCTTTTCAGAAATGAAGCTTTTTTCGTTAACCACACATTTAAACTTATAAGTCTCGGCAGATATACATGGATGTGTCAGAGCTACACTTTTTATGGTTGACAATATAAATAAAATGTTTGATCACAAAGTACTCATTGATACGTAGATAGTGAGGAAAGACATCCACCATAATCGATTCTAAACAGTATACAAAACCCTGTGAAATTGGACTCTGTATTTATATTACCATATTATTCATCTCTTGGAAATTTGGGCTTCAGTGGCACACCTCCATTTTATTCCGTTCTCTGGAGCCTTTTTTAGTTGGCTCCAAGATTACCAAAAGCTTTCATTTTATATTCACGTGATTTTCTCTGTGGCAACCTCGGTTTCCTGACTTATCAGATTCCAATCAGGCAAAAGTCTTCTCAGCGCGTATCCGATCTAACTTTATTTCCTGCATATTTACTGGGTAATAGGTTTGTAGTTGGTTCGTCACCAAAGCCCATTGTTGTTTATCCTTTTTTGACCGATCATCTCATTTTAATTGTTGCGAGTAGGCACGTGTGGATGAGAGTTTGCAGCAGTCTGTTCGAAATTCATTTCGTTAGACGTGGACTAAGTCCTTTAACCACATGGACACATTGATTACCTTGACATAGGTGTTGAAAATTTGGATCATATTCCTTGTGCTGTAAATCTCCACAGTGATTTCGGAGAAACGAACGCCATTTTTACTTTTTCGATCCTGAGTGATTCGTTTCCATTTGTTTCGTCTGTAGCTGAAATGAGGCAGCCTAGGGCAGGTTAGTAAAAGAGACAACTTCCTTCAGCTTCTCTGGTTGGTGGCGAGTGGGACTTGTTGTTGTTGGATGAATATCTTTTAGTATATCCGTCATGACGCAGCTGAATATTTTGCTTGGGATGGACAGGAGCATTATTCAGCTCCTCCTGCTCCTTTTCAGGCTTTCAGTAACTTAACGGTATTCTCAACTTCTGACTTTTTCTTGGAGGGTTAGTGTTCACTGGTAGTTGTGTCTGCTTGGGATAATTCTGGATAATTTGTAAGTGGTGATCGATTCAAGGATCTTGTAAATTGATCTGGGCAGCATTCATTGTGTTTCAACTTTTGGCGATTAGTTTTCCTTTACTATCTTTCACAGGCTTCGTTTACGTTGTTCTTTTCCCGGAAAGTAACCTAGTTATTTGATATAGTCTCTTGAGCTTTCCCTGATTTGGAACCTGCTCTGCTTCAGTTGCCAATGTGTCGCAAAAGCGTCTTTTAGCTTACTAAGCACTTTATTTTACTCTTCTGTTCAGTACATTGTATGTTTTACTCAGTTTCTCCCTTCGTTATTCATCTCTACACTGGTCCATCTTCCGCGTGACCATTCTTCTCTATTCTGTCAAATTCAACATCTTCATAGGGAGCCATTTCTTACATTGTTTCTTCTTGCTGTGCAAAATGTTTACGCAGGTTTCCTTCTACATAACGTTTCAGGGAGTTCCAGTGTTCCTTCACGCAGGTTTGCTCAAATTTTCTTTTCCGAATTTTTCTTGATGACTGCTTTTGTAGCTTCATTCTTTAGCATCTGAGTGCCGAAATTCAATTGTGATTTATCTCCAGCTTCTTTGAAGACCCTCAACTAGACCTTAAAGTTGCATGGCACTGGAGAGTGGCTTGAGTTTAAACCTGGTACTATGTAGTTCATCATAGTATATTTCGTGTATATAAAACATTAAAATAGGGAATTAAACCACTGCAATGGTAAATGTGCGTCGGTTCTTCAGCAACAGAATACTCCCCAACCACAGACGTGGTCTGGGTTTCGATTCCCGGCCGACGCACTCCCAAACTTCGCTTAGCCAGTAATAAGGCCGGTAAAGAGGGAGGGTTGGGCGCAAGGCTAGCAATCTCACGACGTAAAGAAAAAAGCACCACTGATACTGAAACTTCAGAGCTCAGGCTTGAAACCCTATGTTCTACTCGGAGTGCGCGAAGGAATAAAATAATATTTATAGAAATGATAACTACATAATTACAGCTTCAACACAACATAAGGATCGCTTCCATTAGTAACAGTTATCAAGTATTGGTATTATCCAAGAATAAGAAAGCAGAAAGAAGAAAAAATAGTTATCCCGTGTTTTTTAAAAAGACTCCGTAATTTTCGCAAACATTGGCTAAGTAGTAGTTAAGTTTTACTATGGATATCATGAAATCCGATATGAAATTATAGGTTTTATAGATTGCTGAGTCGTTTTTATCACAATTTACCCAGCATTAACGGACAAAAGTATTTCACATAAAACCGTTTATTACTATTATTATTATTTTAACTCACATCGATCATGAAAGTAACAGTGTAGGCTATTAGGTCTATAGCCGTCTGGTACAGTTTTACTGGCAGCCATCAATGCTTGTGCCATAAGTTCACCGCCATAAATAGTTCTTGGATTAGGTGAAAATACTCTTTCACCTCTAGAAAGTACGAAAAACACTGATCACAATATCATGATGGGAGAGTATAAAATATTGAAAGAATAGGATTTCCCTGTAATAGAGTATACTTACTGTCTAAAGAATGATGTCTGGTTTCAGTTAACACAAGTTCAAAAATAATAACTGACTTCACACACAAACACACACACGGGATGATTACTCACGAAAGAATGTATAATGTAAATAAACCTTAATTCGCCCTTCTTCAGCAGTTTGACAAAATAGTATTTCTTCCAATCAGTAGGTACCTTTGCTTTCTTACCAAATTTCTACAATAATGGCGTGAGCATAACCACTGAAGTTTTGGGATCTGTTTTCAGTGCTTCCAAGGGAATTCACTGTGGTCCTGTTGTCTTTCCAGCTTTCATTAGCTTTATGACATTCAAGAAAATGGGGATGGGATGGATGTACGCTGAGTGACAACTTATGTAAGCAACCAACACATGAAAAGTGTACATTCATAAGTTGCAAATTTAATTTACTTCAGTTCTGAACAAACAGCTTCTTATAGAGACTGTTTCAAACACAAATTTATTTGCATATTCGTATGCATGCTATTTTAGGAATACATACAAATCTGATTAATAGTTTAGATTTTTTACAGTACGCGCTATATGTAGTCCTGAATTACTTTGACTAGCATATCAATAGTGAGTGATTCTCAGCCCAACCATGCAAGCAAAGTATTCGTTTCTCATGAAGATAAAATCGATCTAGTGAATATCGTCGTTAGTCCACCATAAACTACCATTTCAGGAAATCACAGGATTGGTTAATTAATGACAATTTGTCAGATCATGTTTACAAACCAAATACTACACTTTAATAATAATAATAATAATAATAAATATTGATTATTGGTAAAACAAGAGTTGTAAAAAGCTGGAAAAAAAAGGACAGAGATATGCTTATATGATAAACCAACTAAACTGTCTTTACACACCTATTTTAATATATGAATACAATTACCTTGAAAAAACTTTTCATATACCTGGCTAATAGCCACACTAATCGAAGGGGGGTAGTGGTACTACCCTGTTGCCCAGGCTGAAGTAGGTGGAGCGGAGCCCAAGCCCGTGACCCATAGACTAGAACCAATGAACTACATCTCTACATTTTAATATATAATATACGTCACTCACCCAAGAATCAAAAATAGCTTCATCACAGTATATGATTTACAATAGAAATGCTTTGTAAAATTTCTGAGTTCACTTTAGTGCCACAAAAACCATATTGCAGCATATACTGAGATTTTTCAAGTTACTGAATAAAATCATATCTTCAAGTGCTGGCTTTCAAATATTTGATTGATTTTGGTTTTGATAAACAATTGAATTTAGTTAGAGGACCGTTGAAAATCAACGGGTACTAGATAGCTGTTTTGTCCTTACTTGGGCCTTTTCTGCAGTAAGCAGTTGTGACCCTATCAGAGATCGAACCCACAAACTTCAGGCTACAAGGCGGACTCGTATACCATCCAGCCACTGGTACAGAATCCAATTGCTTATCAATTCTTAACACATAGGGAGACTACCAACAAATGTCAACGGCGAGTGTCTGCCTTCACGTGCAACTTGGTGGACTCCTCTGATCCCTGGCAAGGTGAATGGATACGTGCTGCTAAAAAAAACAAAGAGGAAACAGCTGTCCGGTACTCCCTGATTTTCAACGGTTCTCTAACTAAATTCAATTCGTGATCCAAATTGATAATAGTATCTTTTAAACACACTCTCGAATAGGTAGCAAAAAAAAAAACAAAGGAAATATTATCACTATCCTTACCTGAATACGTCTCCACTTTGTAATTGTGGATCCAATAATTTATAGATGAATTTATCGCCGATATTCATTATTCTAGAGATAGCTAGAAATATTTAAAAAAAAACCTCACAATATTCACAGACTTCAATGGAAAAACAATTACAATAGAAAAAAGAAACAGGAAAGATTTAGTTAATTATAATGTTTTATTGAAAAAAAACAATGATTACAATACATTGTCCGTAGAAGAATTGAATTATATTCTTCAGTTCATATATTTCTTTTAATATACTAAGTTCATTAATGTGTTTTGAAGAAAAGTGGAGTTTTCATTTGCCAATTGCTTCAAAATAGGCTTCGACTCCTCAGGGAATGGTAACGATGGCTATAAAAAGCATGAGAAGTATTTACTCAAAAATGCTAGTGGAAAAAGAATCAACAAACATCAAATTAATACAATTTCCCTAACTAGAATATATGCGAAAATTACTATGAGTTATCACGTGTACAGTCCTGGCATTCTTATTATTAGGCGATTGGGCTAGAATCACGAAATGGAAGGCCTAATGACACGCAAACGTAGCCTTTTTACATGGAAGTAATTTTTTACTTATAGTTTACTTCATAAATGGGAGAAAAATTTAGAAAAAAGGTATAGAAACTATTCGTCATGCATTCTACACTAATCACTTGTGTCTTCAAAGTAGTTAGGAAAGCAACAGATTTTAAATTCAGAGGAATTTACGAAGAAATGGAGCTGGATTTAACATATAATGAGACATTTAATTGAAATTACACATCAGTTCTTTGAATGGAACCCAAACGGGTGTTACACGAGAGTTACAAAGAGATCGTGTGAAGAGGAAATGAAAGTGTGGACAGGCCTGAAACCAGCTACAAAGGACAATGGAGAACAGAGTACCATCGAGATGAGCTGTTGAAGCTGTGCGTTTCACTTAGAACCCAAGGGACGAATAAGAATAGTATGAAGTCTACGATTAAAAAGGATTATATTGACTGGGAACTAAGCAGAAGTAGTCGAATACATTTTCGATATTATATTCTAACCAGTATTATCCAAACAGCATTTTAAAGAAAATTAAAGAAAGTTGCTATTCTCTTTTCATTAGGTCTAAGTGAATAATACGACTGATCCCAAATTCAAGAAAAATTAGTCAGAGGTTTTGGATGAAGGACATAGATATTTAATCTAAAAGTGTAACTAATATTTCTGTGTGTAACAATTTAGCTGTTGTCTTGAGTGGACGAAACTGACAATAAGGTGTTACCAAATTTCAAAGTCTTATCTATATTCACAACGCTTTCATCATTTACTAACAATCGTAGTAGTTGCTGAAACATCTGAATACAGTATACATTCAAGATAATTTCCAGTTCCTATCGTGCTAGCAGCAAGCTAAAATGAATCTTTGTGTGATCGTAATATTTTATTATTTTTGTTTATATAGTGCCAGTTGGACCTAGTTGATAAGATTCCTTAATGATTCATCGGAAAGCCAGTATAATAGGAAAAACAGTAGTTAGGCACGTGCTGCAATTCTTAATTTATCTGTAGAGATAATCAGAGGCATATACCTTATTCAAGTACATTCATACCAGCAAGATAATATCAGTGAACCTGACAGATAAATCGTAATTACTAAATTTGAAATATGTACGGAATTTCCTATAACTGGAAAACGTCGATTTCGAAACGTCACACAAAATTGTAATGGAATTTGCCTTAAGAGAAGAAATATTAAACTAAGACAGTGAAATTATCTACCAGAACTTGAAAATTGAAGGCGAAATAAAAAAAAACAGGACTCGTCAAACCGTATACCTGATTGTTGGAGTAGTTTCGTAAAAATTTGACCAGAATATTAGTAAATTTAACTGATTTTCTCAGATCGGTATCTCTTTGGGTTTCTGAGTTAAATTTATTCACAATTTGTACAAAAAGTTGTGTAGCGGATACACCAGGCAATGAACAGAGATGCGTCAAGCACTTGAAAAAAAAATTATTTTAAAAGAAGAGATGCGATAACAGAAATAATTGGCTATTTATGTAAGTAATATACAACAATTTCCTAAGAAGCGTAAGTATAGGGCAGAACTGACTTCTGTAAAGATTAGCTCACTGAAATGAAAAACCCTTTTTGTTCGGAAGATAATTCATTCCTAATACTGCAAACTTTACAGCTAAAAGCGTAGTGTAATCACAGATTATTCCGCCATATCCGGTTCAGATTTTTCTACATTCTCTTCAAATCATCGTTTATAAACTAAATGGAGTTGCGGATCCTCTTCAACTGTGTACATCCTAAATAAATCAATTACATGTTACAAAATGCTGTCTGAAAATAAATTTTACAATGATTTCAACTTATAGATAGATAGAAAGTATTAACAGCATAATTTCAAAGTTGATGTGAGTAGATAGTTATTTAGTGTTAAAAGAAAAACTATTTATATAGTGATTAGACAGAGGGTTGGATGGAATTCAGATTTCTCTTGGAAAGAAGTATGGACTAGTGACAAAATACAATAGAGAACAACAGAGTTTATTGATACATATCATGGTGGAGAGTTCATCAGGTTGAAGGGTGGATGGGGTGAATAGTGAAGTAAATTATGAAATAGATAAAATAATTTAGTCGATTTGGAACCTTAACAGTGAGTTCATTCAATTCAGTGAGTGAAAATCAAAATTGAGTGGAATGTTATGGATCGAAGTCATTGCCATCTAAAGACTTCTATGGTGTGACTAATCTCTCACTACCCTGGTAACCATGATTGTTTTGTTCTGTTGCATAACATTGCACTCAATTTTGATTTTGATTTTCACTCACTGAATTGAATGAACTCACTGTTAAGGTTCCAAATCGACTAAATTATTTTATCTATTTCATAATTTACTTCACTATTCACCCCATCCACCCTTCAACCTGATGAACTCTCCACCATGATATGTATCAATAAACTCTGTTGTTCTCTATTGTATTTTGTCACTAGTCCATACTTCTTTCCAAGAGAAATCTGAATTCCATCCAACTCTCTGTCTAATCACTATATAAATAGTTTTTCTTTCAACACTAAATAACTATCTACTTACATCAACTTTGAAATTATGCTGTTAATACTTTCTATCTATCTATAAGTTGAAATCATTGTAAAATTTATGTTCAGACAGCATTTTGTAACATTTTCTTTCTGATAAAAGGCGGCTTTCATCATGATCATCATATAACAAAAGGTATTTTGAAACAGTTGAAAACCTGTAGTGTATTGATTCAGTGAGAAGAAAATTCTGATCATGAAGACATACACTGCAGCAACAGTCACATGAATATTATTCTAAAAGTATAAAGGCTGATTTATTGACCAGTACTCGTAAATTTTTAAGACGATGAGTATTTAAGGTCCCTTTGGTATTAATCATATCGATGAACCATAATGAATTTCAAAAAATGAATATATATATATATATGCGTCGGTGGCACAGTGGTTAGGAATCTCGGCGACCATGCACATGGTCCGTGGTTCGATCCCCTGCCGACGCACACCTGATAACAATGGTCGGCCTGCAAAATTTGGGCTACCGATATCAAATGTTGAAAATTCCATACTTGTATCAAAAATACTGTGTGGAATCAAGCTGTTACCAAAAAATAAAACATATATATCTGCAAAAAACATACCGTACTGAAGAGGAATTCTAACACAGGGTATGAATCCGTAGGCCATTCATATTCCGCTAAACATAATTTACTTCCAGCCATTGGCAAGAAAAATTATATAAGAAAAGCGTAAAGACGTGTATAAAAAAAAGGAAACAAACGAACTAGTTAATTACTGTTTATAAAAATCACTATCACAGATAGTGATAAATGAGAGAGAAAACAATTCTGACGCTGAGTAGTAATTATCGATCACATAGTTTCTAAATATTCAGAGTTAAAATAAGCCCTTTAGAAGTATACAACATCAAAATGTAGTACATTAACTAGTTGGTGGGTGCAAATATTCACTTATAATCAAGTTATTTAGAAAGATGATACTACAAGATTCAGGATCATGAATGTGTTATCGCGTCGACTGGTTTTTTCTTTTTCCTTTATTAGTTTACCGTTAAGATTGAAAGTTATTTTGAAGCTTTGTATGTTTTAATTTGTTTAAATCGACATGTTCTTTGTCCTAAATCTCTTCTTCCCATATATTTGTACATACTGCGATCATCTCAAACACTCCATAATTTTCATAATTTGATGTGATAACATGGTTGAATTATGGATGAGTTATATCATTTTCAGCAGTATCAATAGTAGTAACTCGCACACTGCAGTCATGCATCCTTTCCATACTATCAAATTTTCCAGACTGAAAGTAACCGGCGTTTTGCTAAGTTATTCAAAAGACATGGGATTCTGAGTGAACTAGTGTTTGGAATACAATGCATCTGGATAGCGAAGCAGCATGTCGTTTACGTTCAGTCACATTTTCATACGTCAAAATACTTAAAGTGCTTGCCATTATTTGATATTACTGTGTGAAATGACACCGTTTCCACATAGTACAGCTGTCCCAGGCAATGCAGCAACGATCTTCCCTTTCATCTGAAACTTACATTCTGCTACCTTTACTCACATCTTACTACGGACAACAACAAAATAAGCAAGAAAATTAGAGTCACCCTTATTCATGCCATTCAATTTTAGGCGAAATTAAACTTTCGGCACCGAAAAGGCGCAAACTCACAATTGACCTTAGAAAGAGGCATAGAGCTGAAAAGTAAATTTGGTCTTTTAATCCTAACCCTTATCTTTCTTTAACGTTACCCTAATCTACTTCAAATCAACCTTACTATCTTCCTATTATTCAGTAAGTATGCTATTTACAATCAACAAAATAAGGAACGCATCAAAGTTTACAATTATACTAATTTATATTATTGAGCTAACGCTATACATAACATCAGATTTATTTACACAATTATCGTGCTTTAAAGTCATTAGTGATCAGGTAACTATAACTTGAGGATAGTTGTGTTGATCCATGAAAATATTCAGAGAGAAAAATGTGGTGGAATTACCATGTGGTTTGATACTATTCAACTGAATCCAACAACAAATTTGAAATTTTAGCTGATTCAGTCGACAAATAAAAGAACAAAGCTTTATGTAGAACTAACTTTTGATACATATTCAACTTCCGGTTACAAGGCAAGCTCGTATACCATTCAGCCACTGGGACCCGATTCAATGGCTCATGAATTCTAACTTCTACCAATTCGTGATTTTAGCGCGACCCCAACTATTGTCGTTGGTGGAAATCCATCCACACGTGACTTCTATTCTAATTGGACCTCACTGGTCACGACTTCTCACTAGAACTGCAGGAAGCTCCAACCTGTAGCAAGTCACTAGCGAGCATCAGAATAATTTTCTATAGTTTGGTTTGTAAGGATTAGTTATGTTTTACGAGTTAGTGACTTGCTACAGGTTGGAGCTTCCTGCAGTTCTAGTGAGAAGTCGTGACCAGTGAGGTCCAATTAGAATAGAAGTCACGTGTGGATGGATTTCCACCAACGACAATAGTTGGGGTCGCGCTAAAATCACGAATTGGTAGAAGTTAGAATTCATGAGCCATTGAATCGGGTCCCAGTGGCTGAATGGTATACGAGCTTGCCTTGTAACCGGAAGGTCCCGGGTTCGAATCCCAGTGGGTGCGTACTGCCGATGATTCCCAAACTAGGATGAAACAGTATCTGTCCAGTACTCCCTGGTTTTCAATGGTTCTCTAGCTGATATCAGTCCGTGATCAACTCGTAAAACATAACTAATCCTTACAAACCAAACTATAGAAAACATATTCAACTTTCATTAAACATAGTCCACGCTCCTATAAACGACCTAGTACGGTAGGGCGGGTAGACTTCAGTCTCTTTCTCGACATGTACTCAAGTGTCCACGCTTTCATAGTTTCTACCAAATAAGTCCTATTCACTTCATTCACACATAGCAGGGGTATTACTTATAAAAGTGAAAGGACGAATGCCAACATCTGGCGTTTACACTCAAATTGGTGAACATGCTGGTCTACTTAGGGGATGCGGAAAACACCGATTCTAAACACATGGTGTGTATGGGCTATAGAGTCTAAAAGGATCGTATGTCGTATGAACCTGTTTTAGTCAGCAGCGACCATGAGAACGTAGTTTTTGACACTGCTCCAGTGTCTTGTGGGTCAAACTTCAACAGGGTTGGCCCTTCAATATAAACAGTGGCTTCGGTCTGGGAGTCCAGTTAGTATCCCAACCCTCGCAAAAACTACTAGATTTTGTGTGACGCGTCTCTTGGTGCCATTAGTATACCAAGTTTGTGTTTAATAATAATAATTAACATAGCTCACAGAATATTTGTCTACTGTGAGTTCGACAGAAGGCTTCTTTTAAGCTAATACCATTTTAAAGTTAATGTTTTTAAAAAAATTTTTTGATTTATTTATGAAACTTACTTCAGGAGTGTGTATCGGTCAGAAGGCGTAGAATTCTTTAGAAAATGCAAAATATATTCGCTATGGCGATGATCTACAGAAGAAAACATTTAAAATATGAATAAACTGCATTCCTATTGAGTTATATTTGAATAGTGAAAACAGTACGATAAACGATGTTGAAACACACGCATAAAAAATGAGAACAACACTTAAAGATGTTAAAAGCAAAACAAAAAGCGATGGTAAACGAGAGTCAACCTGGAAACAGTGACATATATATATATATATATATATATATATATATATATTACACCCTGTATACGACACTCGATGTGTTAGTTTTTTGTATACTTTTCAGATTTTAGAGTGTAATGCTTTTAAGGTTGATGGCTGAGTGAAGCATGTTTGAACAAATTCATTGGAAAATTTTGAATGGTCTATTAGAATGCAACTTATGCTTGCAGACCCAAATTAAGAGAATACAAAGGTTTTAACACCCTATCTTCTTAGTTAAAATCTACCATGGTGGAAACAGAATGATTGTCAAGTTACAGTTCTAAGGAATACTAAGGAGCTTTACATGTTAAATGAGATGGTACATAACAAATAAGATCGTTTATTTGGACGCTAGTAGCAAATCTTTCAAGTCTGATCTTTATTTGCCTCACTCTACAAATATGTTTTAAGATATTGGTACGCTATTTATTAGCATAAGGATACTGAAACTGTGCGGTGTTCAACAAATTCAGTAACTTGTTGTTAGTCTGTAAACTTAAAAGTGCTAATATCCCTAACCTAATTTATTGAAGTTTGTGAATTTTATGTTGCTTTACTACACTTAAATGATCGGCCACTGTTAGCGCATAGGTTGTTCTGACGGAAGCTGTGATGATGCAGAAGAAATGATAGTATTTGCTCAGTATCCTCGTGGATGACACATTGGTGTTTGAAATGACATAACCTATGTTTCAACCTCAGTGCAAATAACAACTCAATAAAGACGGGTGGGTAGACACATACAGATAAGTAAGTGAAGTGTGCATCCTGGATTCAGTTAGTAACTATCATCTTTTAAAAAGCATAAAAGGCACCATGAAAGTGTCTACACAAGAGGTCGATAGGCCAACAAAAAAAGGATCATTTCGGTCTAGTGAAGACAAACAAGGGCGTCGGTGGTGCAATGGTAGGTTGTTCACCATTCACACATGTTGACCGGGGTTCGATTACTGGCCACCATACTCCTAAGCCTCGCTTAGCCTGTAGGAACCCTGGCAAAGAGGGAATGTCTGAAAAAAAGCTAGCAACCCCACCCTGTAAAAATAAAACCTTCGCTGGTGAAGCTTCAAAACTCTACTTGAAGTCATGTTCCCTTCGAAAATGAAAGGAACAAAATAAATAAATAAATAATAAAGACAAACAAAGGAAAATTCAAAGTCTCAGTAAACAAACGAAATTTAATGGATAAGCAGCAATTAAAGGATGAAAAGCTAACGGTCATAAAACTGTTCAAAAATATATGAAGAGTACTTGTAAGTTGGAATAAATTAAGATAGTCAGACAACTGAAGGTAACTTAGCAACTAACAAGATACAGTGAAGTTTTTAAAAAATACCACATCGAAATACTATCAACATATTTTAATCGAATTCTTGATGTGTAAACACCTTTTTGGTATTTTGACTACGAATTCTGAAACGAAGACGTTTTATCAAACACGTTGAGATATTTTACTAACGTGTTGCTCGTGTTTCATAGTGCTTACTTGTGTTAGAGTAAATACCTTAAAAGCAATTTAGTAGTGACATTAAAAGTTAAATATTATTGTATGTCGTATATTTAAGAATGTATTCCCGCAATCAGCATATATTTACCGTTCGTTTTTTCTTTCTGTAATGGTTAACAGAAGTTTTAGGGAATTCTGTTTTCATTTAAGCATGCACTTTCTCCCAGGAAGTCAGTCGAATTGATTCCTACATGAGGACAGTTGCCAATTTAGCTAGCTGGCTAGAAATCACTCACGTGTTACCGGGTTACCAGCATCATTTGTTGTATGAGGGCTGATGATACTACTACCCAATTATCCAGGCTAAAGGAGGTGGAGGGGGATTCGAACTCAGGACCCAAAGATTTGAAGTTACGCGCTTGAACCAAACAGCAATACCTCCACTATTTCCACTCACTAGGAAAACAATCCTTGGTATACTCCAAGAGAGGTATAAACGCATCATCCAGTCCAAATTGCTATGCGTAGAGAACTGTAAATTGTAGCTACATTTAAATTTCCATGCAGTTCCTTGTCTTTATACATCTAAATACAATCAGAACAACTACTAAAGTTATGTGAAGTATGAATTTATCTTATTCTGTGGTTTCATAACAGATTTGAATGTCTACAGCAATATGGAAAATCATCACATGAAGTGATAAGTTAAAGTTGAGCAGTTGAAATTAATGGAACAGTAGAACATTTTAGTAGTTAAAATACATGGAATAGCAAAGTCGCATAATACAAATACGGATTTCGAATAAATAGACAAAATAAACAAGAAACTTAAAAGTTCAGAACTACCCTTTAGACATCAGTAAACTTAGACACATTGAGTTTGATCACGGGTTGATTTCAGTTACAGAACCGTTGAAAATCAGGGAATATTGGACAACGGTCTTGTGTTTGTTTGGGACTCCTCCGCAGACACACCCATGACCCCACTGGGGATCAAACACAGGACCTTCAGGTTATGAAGAGAGCCCGTTGACCACTTAACCAGTGGGACGAAATTCAATGACCCATAAATTCTAACTTCTATCAAATGACGATTTTTAGCACTACTGCCAGCGAAGACACCAGCGAGTATTCTTCTTCACACTCAAACCTGGTGGACCCTACTGATCACAACGTCGCACTGTAACTACAAGCAGCTTCCTCCTGTAGTGAGTCACTAGTGAGCATTAGATTAGTTCTCAACAGTTAGTTTGTAGGGGTTTGATCTATTGATATCTGATTGATATCAGTCCCAGTGACTGAATAGTTAACGAGCTCCCCTAATGACCTGAAGGTCCTGGTTCCGATCCTTGGTGCAGTAATGGTTGAGTACTGATGAAGAGTCACAAAATTAGGATAACACAGCTGTCTGGTAATCCCTGGTTTTCAATGGTTCTCTAACTGATTTCAATACGTGATCAAACTTGAAACTAATCAAATCCCTACAAACTAACTCCCGGAATGTAGACAGTTTATTTTACCAACCTTACAGGATGAATTCGCATAACTGACAGGAAATATTTTAGGAATATTTTACTTCCTCGATATATATATATATATATATAAATTTAGCAGATAAATTCATCAAAACAGGAATATTTTCTTTGTAACCCGTCGTTTTACTTTTCTACACCACGAAAATTGCCTAGCCATAGAGAGATTCAAAAAATATCCTATCGATTAGGCTTTCGATAATTTCCCTACAATCATATGATAAGAGAACGAGGTTTAATTTAAGAAAACTTAAGGTATTTGGTAGGAATGATAATGCAATTTCATCGCTGTATTGATCAGTCATTTGGTAGACAAATATCTCTACTAGACTGAAATCTACTAACATTTATTGATAGGTTAAAAAGTGAGTGGAAATAACCTACAAGTAGTAGACGTGAGAATAATAATCAGAACAATGAGAAGAAAGCTTTAGCACGCGTAACGGAACAACTCTTATTTCAGAAATTAATTGTTATCGTTACTTTTAACGCTTATTGCCAAAAACAAAAATCAATTGTAAATCGATAGCAAGGAAATTCAGTCAAAAAGTACTCAATGTGCAATATATATTATATATATATATATATATATATATATATATATATTATTATATATATATATATATCTGCTGGTTTTTAATATATTCGTTCACACTACTTGAAGTCTATGCGGAATGAAAATGAAATTTGATGTATAATCCAACTGCTAGTCGGATTATCCATATAGTAAACAAAAAAAGTAATCACACACCGACTCCATTATTTATAGTCAGTGTTGGTGGCACAGCCAAATACGGTGTTAAATCATGTAGGACAGTAAACCAGGAAATCTAATGAATGCTAAATTTACCTAAGTTTTGAATCCAATAAAGTAAAGATTTTTTTATTACGTAGTTAAGATCACATGAGTCAGAAAAGAGATCTCTTTTCCTTACTTTACTTCAAAGCTGTACACTTATTTAGGGTGTTTATGTATGTGCAATGCAGATTGACAACAGGGGTTACCAACTGACAATAACCTTTGATCTATGTTGTCAATATATATTGCATATACAGACACCCTAAATAACTATACAGCTTTTCCAATCACTCAGAAACAACCACACGAAAATCAGCTTTGAAGTGATATTACTTAGTCATTAAAGTACATGGAGTAGGGATAGAACATCAGCACTGTGGTAGAATACACTTCCATATTAGATAGGTGTATTTGAAATAACTGGAGGATGTTTCGAGCACAATTTATTGCTTATAATCATATCAGTATTATTCACACAGCTTCATAATTAGCCTACTATATATATATATATCTTCTCTCTCTCCCCTCCCCTAGTTGTTTGTTGCAGTTTTCCATGTCTGTGGTATAGATATTATGTCATTTCGATTGCAATTATGCCGTGTTGAGTCAATAAGCAAAGATTCAGTAATTAACCTCCCTCAACACGTAACTATTTCACCTTTCAATACTTTCACCCTGTCTTACCCTATTGTGTGATCACATGCAGGTGAATTGCATTGCAATCACTGAGCTTTTTTCTAGATTGTTTCATTTATCATTTTAGGTCTAAATAGATTTTTATTTTCCGATAATTTAATTGATCCCGATCTACTACTCTGACCTGTTTAACTGAACTCGCGTTATTTGGTAAATTACATTATTTTTTCTAATTGGATCTATCGAGTCCTTAAGCTGACATAGTTTACCTCTGAAAGAGTAGTCGGTTTAAATGCCACTCTAATTCTAGACTCATTCAAAATTCTACCTAAGGCTTCTAATGTTCCTTCTTCATACGGCAGTACTACAGAGGCTTTGAATTCTATAATATTTATGCTATTTTTACCATTTTCATTAGTTATCTTATTCTTCCTTTGGATAGTTATTCGCTCGTAATATTTTCTTTATTTGTTTGATTTCATTATTTAAATCTCTGGCTTACTAGTTAGGCTCTTGCCCCAGTTATACAGACAATGAACTAAACCTATCTTTACCGATTCTCGATAGGATGAATTCAAGTCCAACTATTTATTGGTATGTTGGTTTCCTATAAATGCTAATATCTAACCTATCACCCTGTTTTCTTTTTATTTTATAGTCTAGCATGGTCAACTCACCTTGTTCGTTCTCTAACTCAGAAGTGAATTTGGATTCTGTCAACCACTGAGTTTATATGTGTAAAAAACTGCGGGATATGTTCAAATTTCAACATAGTGAATGTATCATCCACATATTTGCACCATAACCTAGGAGCAGGATTAAACGTTCTAAGAGATTTATGTTCCCACCCATCTACAAATATTTCTGCTACTTTTCGGGATATTGGTGAACCCAGGGCCATCCCCGTTCAATTGTTGGTATATTCTGTTTTGAAATTTCTATGCAGTGGAGGTTAGACATAACTAAATATCTGATATTATTTCATTAATCGAGATCTTAGTCCTATTTATGTCCAGTTGATTCCTAATCGCCCCCAAGAGCTGTATTAACTGGAATATTAGTGTACAAACTTTTTATATCAAAACTAATCATTTTTTCATCTGAATTTCCTCTAGCCTCTATTTTATTCCATAGGAATTAGTTAGCTAAACATGGTACTATAATTATTCAAACGACTACCACTTTACAGTCATTCATGGTCAAGTACCTATAATTTGAGGATGGTAGTATTGACCTGTGAATATATTTAGACAAAAAAAGTGGTGGAATTACGAAATGGTTTGGTACTTGCTCAGTCAAACCCAGCAACACATAGGAAATTTTAGTTGATTAAGCCAGCAAATTTAGGAATAAAGTGTTAGTCAGAACCAACATTTGATAAATATTCAACTTTCATTAAACAAAGCTCACAGAATTATTGATATAAGTATAAAACTTGGGCACTGTGGTAGAGTATAATTCCATAATGGATAAGATTTTATCTTATCCATTATGGAAAAGCTCACAGAACAATTACCAACTGTGAGTTCTCAAGGGCTAGTTTGTAATGATTCGATTTGTTTCGAGTTTGATGACAAACTGACTTTAGTTAGTGTACGATCGGGAACTAGGAAGTACTTGATAGTTATTTCATCCTAGTTAGTAAATATTTAGTACTCACGACCCTACCATGGCTTGAACCCTGGACCTTCAGGTTACAAGGACAAACTCATTCACTAAACTCCTATTTGTGAATTCAGGATGAATGTCGAATTAATTCATACAAAATTGTATTTTATGAATTTGTGTACAAAAATTAGTTTTTTTTTCCTGACTGTGAAATAGATTGCAATGAGTAGTTTAGTAATTACTACTCCTAAAAAGTGACCAGATCAAAAAATGGCATCAAACTATGCAATCGAGCTATATAGGGTAGTTTCTTCAACTATGAACATCAGTATATTAATATTTAAGGTTTTTTTCGTTCACGTTCCCCAGTGGAACTTAGGACTTCAAGCTTGTGGCTTGAAGTTTCTTTAGCAGTTTTTATTTTACAGGATGGGGTTGCTAGCCTCATGCCCAACCTTCCTTCTTCACCAGCATTATTTCTGGCTTAGCGAGGTAAAGGAGTGCGCCGGCCGGGGATCGAACCCCGGACCATGTGCATGGTTGGCGAGCGTCCTAACCGCTATGCCACCGACGCTAATATCTATCTAAGGTTTGATGACTATGAATAAAATGGCGCTTAAGTAGTTGTAATGGGCAGGTGTATTAGCATATCTTTATTTTCGGGAGTTTGAATAGTTTAAATAATCTTTATTGGAATTATTATTCCCCTTTTGTGCTCATACTTATTAATCGTAACATGACTCAATGCAAACACCAGAGATATGGGAGATATTATTGTGGTGAGACCTGGCTGCTAGCCAAAGTTGGTAGACAGTAATTGACGTCAATGTTTATGTCCCCAATATTGGTGGTGAGAAAATGAGAACAAAGGCTTTGCGTAGGTGGATACAGTTAGCATATGGATGATCTGACACAGCCACAAAACGATGCAAGGTTAACTTTCTGTGAAAAACAACCAATCAAAAGACTGCATTTTCTACTAAAAATAATCTACAATAATGTACATTAAAATCTATAAACATGTGTTGATTTTCCTTGATAAATGATCTGTTGCCTAGCCCTTGTCTTCTGTTGTTACATTATTACCACCAGTCGAATCAGAGGAGGATAATAAATAATCTTAAAATTTTATTTCAATTCACGTACATCATAACATTCTAACAAGTTACTCATTTTGACTATAAGATCTCTCGTCTTATTTTCCATCTGATTATAATTGATGAATAACACTCGTATTATTATTTGTGAATGTAGATTACCCTATAGTGATTTTTGTTCAAATGTCTAATCATCAACTGCACACATGTATATAAATGAAGGAAAAAAGTTATGTGAGTAACTTGATATGATTATGAGCAATAGTTTGTGCTCAAAACAGCATCAGTTAATATTACTGTATAACACTGTGTGATTTATCAAAATAAAATCTTATGTATAATGGAGTTATATTCTATCACAGTGCCCAAGTTTGATACTTATATCAATGATTCTATTTCTGCTTAATTTTTCTTTGAGCAGTGCTCTGATGCGTCCCAACTTCTGCTAGAAGAGACGAGTGTGCAAACAACAGGTGTACGTAGTGATTAATATCAAAATTCGCAACAATAAGTAATATAACGGAAAACATGCAAAACTCGGCGAAGGGTCTATTCTACAGTGATCATTAGAATATCCTACACTTTCTTAGCTAATTAAAACTAACAACCAGTATTACATTTCGATCTAGTTAACGTCGACTTTTCAACAACTTACATTTCCACTTAAGTAAACATGGTGGGTCAAAATTACTGACGGCTAAAATTAACCCAGATATTTCAAAAACTATAATCAATGCTCGTTCTCATTCATAATAAGTGACTTCAGTCCTCTTTGTAAAAGTGAGATAGTTAAAACTCAGTTACTCGAGGCTATGAGCCATTTATATTGTATGGGGGCTAATGATACTGACTACCCAGTTGCTCAGGTTGAAGTAACTAAGTGGGATGACATTCTAACATTACACCCCCATTGGAAGAAAGTTCAACAATTAAGCCAATGAAACCACTACTGCTTCACTTTACGTAAAACACCGAGCATTTATCCTAAGTATCACCTTCTATAAAGTTAACTACACAACTAATGTAGCATAATATGAATCAAAGTCGATTTTCAGTGTTGATGAACCGGATATTTTAAAGAAGTTACAATTTCAGGAAAACAGACACAAAACTGGAGTAATAAAGACTAAAAAATATAGAAATGAAAATAAAAAATAAAATCATACCAAAAAGTTAAGAGAAATCTCTCAGATGTAAGTCTGAAACTGAATTTCTTGAAAATTTTATAGTTAAAACACATATTAAATATAAAACTTACTTGGAATTGACAGAAGTAAAGGAAGTAATGAATCATAGAAAATGTGAGAAATAACTGGATTTTTGTGTAGTTCAAAAGTAGACAGTACAAAATATTTGGGTGGTAATTTCCGACAGTATTGTGCCTAGATTTAAATAATGCAAAAACTAAAATATATATATATATATATATTACACGTTAATTTTACAAACACGTCACAAAGGATACACATATAGTTTGCTAATAAAACAAAAACAAATGTTGTGTGATATCTCACAAACACATGAGACAAAGTTTAAAAAAGAACTAATTTTCCACTGGACTATTAAAACACTAAATCTAAACGTTATTTTTATTCTAACCCGTTTAATTGGTATTTATCAGAAAACCTCAGTTTTCAAGTATGGTTTGCAGGGATTTGATTGATATCAGTAGGAGAACCATTGAAGACCAGGGATCACTGGACATTTTAGTTGATTCAAGATGCCTGTCAGAAATTTTAGAGACTAATTAATGAACAAAGAATATTCCTTTCGATAAAGTCGTCATCAAGTTCTACACTTATATGATCATAAGAATTAAAGAATTACTGATATTGACAACATTAAAGTTTTGAATTACCTTGGACCAATAGTATCGGCAAATTACATTTCCAAAGTATCAGTAAGAGATAATATGCAATGACATAACACTGAACTGAATATCATATAAGTTGAGGGAAGTATCACAGAATTTGTAATTTATAGGCTCGGCAGCAGGCCAGAGTAGCAATAATGACTAGATCTGTTTCGTTTGCACACAGAGCTCCGGTTGGTTTAATCGAATTGCAATGTGCTCTGCTGTTTGGCGTGTTCGATATCTAGAGGCTTTTGGTAATTTATTCGATACCCGATTGATAAGAGAGAAAGATTCTTGAGTGGCCTGTATGGACGAGGTGACTTAGCATAGAACTGTTGACGATTTTAACATCTTTATTTAGCCACATTGGTAGGTGTTTCCGAGCACGGAAAAAAGGTTTTTAAAGCAACGGCCAGTATGACTGGATCCAGAGGAGTAGTTGAATTGATAGATGGGTACTTCGTCTTTCAGTTTCTGAATCACAACCGGTTGTATGGAAAATATCAACTGCAGCTTACCGGCATTAAGCGTTCTTTTAATCAATTTTCTCAACTTGTCGGTTATTATTTATTTTTACGAGTTGATCACGGACTGATATCAGTTAGAGAACCATTGAAAACCAGGGAGTACTGGACAGCTGCTGTTTCGTCCTAGTTTGGGAATCATCGGCAGTACGCACCCACTGGGATTTGAACCCAGGACCTTCCGGTTACAAGGCAAGCTCGTATACCATTCAGCCACTGGGACCCGATTCAGTGGCTCATGAATTCTAACTTCTACCAATTCGTGATTTTAGCACGCCATTGAATCGGGTCCCAGTGGCTGAATGGTATACGAGCTTGCCTTGTAACTGGAAGGTCCTGGGTTCGAATCCCAGTGGGTGAGTACTGCCGATGATTCCCAAACTAGGACGAAACAGCAGCTGTCCAGTACTCCCTGGTTTTCAATGGTTCTCTAACTGATATCAGTCCGTGATCAACTCGTAAAACATAACTAATCCTTACAAACCAAACTTTAGAAAAGGTTATTATTTCACTTGGTATATCACCTTTGAATTGTAGTCGTGAATACACAGGCCTACTGAAGAATTCTTTTCGACTTTGCGGGCCATGGGTTTATTGATTATGATCATATAAATGTAGAACTTGATGGAGAATTTATCGAAAAGAATATTCTTTGTTCAATAAACAGTCTTTTAGATTACTAGAAATCTATTTTCTTATTGTTTGGGATTCTTCAACAGCAGGTAACTGTGACCCCACCAGTGATCGAACAAAGGACTTTCAGGTTACGAGACCAAGCTCCGTGACCACTCAGCAAACTGGACCAGAATTCAATAACCTGTGAATTTTTAATCCTGTCGATTCACCATTTCAAGGCCACTGCTAACCGATTTCGTTGGCGAGCATTTTTACTCCTTGGTTTACAGTGGTTCTATAACTGAAGAAGTCAATTAGTGATCAAAAGTGGAAAACATCCCTTGACGCTTTAGTAGCAATACTTCTAAATAAAGTTGAGAAGTCATATGCCTTAATGTAATACTCTTAAAATCACTTGTAACGTTGTTAGGAAGTACAAGCAAACTTAGTACGAAAGAATATCCTTTAAAACTCTTGTATAGCGAAAAGCCTATTAATGCAAAACAAAACAGGAATCAAGTGATGTATGAAATAGAATAATAATATAATGCCATACCAATGTAAATATTATAATCATATTAGAATCCAATTTATGTATCCACAGACTTTAAGAAAGAAATATTTGCGCTACAGTGAGAAGCTTCCGAACCAGCACATTACTTTTAATTTCACTATGGGCAAGAAGAGATGCATCATATAAAATCTCATAGTTTGTCCAAGGGCGGGGATAATTCGCGGACACAAAGACTGAACCAGGCAGTTGTTTTAAGAGGTCGCTTACTCCCCCCAGCCATTGGCTTGAACCTTCAACCACAAAGCAGTGGGGCAGTGTCAAGAGCTACATTCACACGGATGATGCTGACCGAAACAGGTTCATACGACATTCAACCCTTTCGGATTCTGGAGCCCATCTATACCATGTGTTTCGAATCAGTGTTTTCCCCATCTCCTAAGTAAACCAGCATGTCCACCAAACTGATTGTAGACTCCGGATATTCGCATTCGTCCTTTCACTTTTATGAGTAGTACCCCGACTACTTGAGGACAGTGAATAGAGCTTACCTGGCAGCGGTTATGAACGCGTGTTTACATGAAAGCATTTCGACAAAAAGACTGAAGTCTACCCAACCGCAAACTGCCTTTACTTCAAAACCTACCCTGTAGACGAATTTCACTTTGATTCGATTAAGAAGAATATAGAATACTGATGTGGAATAAGACACGTTTAGTGTTAACAAAAATTTCAATCTAAAATATCTTCAAAGTACTGTAGTTTCAGGTAAAATGCAAAAATAAGTACTCTTTCCTTAATGCATGAGCAGACATTTTGCAATATTTACGCAGTTGGAAAGGAATCACTTCGTTAAGAATTATTTTCATACAGCCGTTTCTTTTTATTGCTTTGAATGAAGGAACGAACTTATTTACAGGATAATACCTTAACTTCGTGGATTCTCTCCAACTGCGTATATCCTAGATAAACCAATTACATGTTACAAAATGCTGTCTGAGCATGAATTTTACAATGACTTCAACTTATAGGTGGATAGTATTAACAGCATAATTTCACAGTTGATGTGAGTAGACCAGGGAGTCACTGATTGAAAATGGAGTGCCTAAGCCAGTGAGCCACGTCTCCACAAATTCCCAGTGAATTCTGATAGAATCTATTCTCAAGGTATATTTCAGTTAAGCAATTATAATAACAATGCCATTTACAAATAAAATTACAATTGATTTGAATACATCACGTAGTTTTGTAGATGAGAAATAAACAATAGCACCAGTAGTACTGTTGGTGAATACTGCTCTCATTAAATATGTGAAATATGATCAGGACATGTTTTGACTGAAAAAAGTAGAATTTTGTAAACAAATAGTCTGAAAGTGTATCAACACCCATGGCTCTTTCTCTGTATGTTAAAAATTATTATGAATGTTCAAATAGCGATGACGTATGTGAACTGAAATGAACTAAATTTAATAATCATAATAATTTGCTTTATTCCAAAAACAGTACTAATGATAGAGCAAGGAATTTTCAGCATTCAGTACAATACTGCATCTGATTTACTCAAAATGACAAAAAATAAACAATACATAATAATAATAACAAAACGTTGTTAAAGCAGCTATGTATCAATTACAGTATGCGATATGGAGAAAAGTATGCATAAAGTATAAAATTATAGTAATAATAGTAATAACAACTAAAATAAAATAGCTAAGTTATAATTAAACGATTGAAAGAGTCCCTTCATAAAATTACAGAAAGCTGAACGATGAAAGGGTCGATTCACTTTGCTAATTACATAGTAACTCTCCACCATGATATGTATAAATTAACTCTGTTGTTCTCTATTGTATTTTGTCACTAGTCCATACTTCTTTCCAAGAGAAATCTGAATTCCATCCTACCCTCTGTCTAATCACTATAAAAATAGTTTTTCTTTCAACACTAAATAACTATCTACTCACATCAACTTTGAAATTATGCTGTTAATACTTTCTATCTATCTATAAGTTGAAATCATTGTAAAATTTATGTTCAGACAGCATTGATTTATTTAGGATGTACACAGTTGAAGAGATGTAAATTGAAGTCGTATCATCCTGTAAATATGTTTGTTTCTTCTTTATTCTAACAATTACTTTACGCAGATGAATGGTTTGCTCTACTTGATAACATTTTTATTCCTGAGAGTTGTAATATTAGCTTAGAAGAGATCGATGTTAGCTGGTACATTTCGTTTAGGTTGGAAAAGATTTAGAGGTGATCAGACAGGAACATGTCACCAGTGGATGAAGTCTTTGGTCATTTGATTTCTCACAATAATTATTCCAAAGAGTATCAGTTCTGCGACCAGCAGCAAGCTCACAGACTACAAACATAAATTATATAACAGGGAACAATTGTTAATGTAGATCAGTATCGCGACTAGTTTGTTATTTTAACGATTTCACTTATTGACGAGTGTAGTTCTTTAAAGTTAACTAGATGGCTGACTTTAGCAACTTACAGAGTGACTTGTTACAGAGGCACAGTCCTGTCGTTTTATAGTACGCAGATAATATATTCCTTCTAGATGAAGACGTTACCAAAATGAAGTCTTCTAAACACTTTCAGCATAAATCTTAAAATGTTTTGCATGCGATTCGCCCTGTCAAAAGTAAAATCGTACTACAAATTTAATCTGCACCGACTCTGTGTTAAAGGGTAGGGAGTGGAATGCTGAGTACGTTTATCACCACTTAGCTGGGAAATTGTGTCATTCCTTATAGACTGACTGCTGATGAAATGTCAGCGCAGACACAAAAGGCTCGTGTGGTTTTCGCCAACTTACGTCACTTTTGGCATGGAAGTGATATCCAGGGACGTGTGTACTGAGCAGCAGAACGTTCTGTCCTTCTTAATGATTGTGCGGTAGCCGTTGAAAAAGACTAGTTATCTCTAACCTAAGGTATCTGCGTTCTATCCCCGTGCTTAATGGTATAATATGCTAATATTAATGTTAGGCGTAGTGTTAGTTAACGAGAGCAAGTGAATCGATGAGGTTATTAAGCTGCATCGATTAAGGTGATTAGGACAATTTTTATGCATGCCTAGCCACAGCCTTCCTCGACGTGTAATTAAAGCAGACATGAAATTAGGTTGGAAGAGTTACGGGTGGTCAAAGCACAACATGATATCAATCGCTGAAGTCTCTTCATACACTTATTCCCTTTTATAAATTTGAATAAACCAAGAACAACAGTTTGTGCCATTGGTTTAAATAATGCAGGTAGGTGTAGACTACCTGATTTCGGTCCTCGAAATGTTAAGAATCAATGTCTGGAGACTGTTGGTGAAGTGACCCAAAGTCGTTCTCAATGGTACAGATGCATTCACTCTTTGTAATCTCCCAACTTCAATAAACCTTATGAGTGTTTCAAGTAATTATTCTTTCTCCCCTACATTTTTTTGGTATAGTTTCTTCCCTACTTTTATGTATGCAGCTTAAACTGTTGCATCTTCGTGCAGTTCTGCATTGAAAATTTAGTTCACTTCAGTTCACATACGTCATCGCTATTTGAACATTCATAATAATTTTTAACATACAGAGAAAGAGCCATGGGTGTTGATACACTTTTAGACTATTTGTTTACAAAATTCTACTTTTTTCAGTCAAAACATGTCCTGATCATATTTCACATATTTAATGAGAGCAGTATTCACCAACAGTACTACTGGTGCTATTGTTTATTTCTCATCTACAAAACTACGTGATGTATTCAAATCAATTGTAATTTTATTTGTAAATGGCATTGTTATTATAATTGCTTAACTGAAATATACCTTGAGAATAGATTCTATCAGAATTCACTGGGAATTTGTGGAGACGTGGCTCACTGGCTTAGGCACTCCATTTTCAATCAGTGACTCCTTGGTTCAAATCCCACTCCACCTACTTCAGCCTGGGCAACTGGATAGTGTCGATAGCCCTCACACATCAAGTGTGCGTCATTGTCCGGGAAATGAGTTTGAGCCACAAACAGTTATAACATGTACCATATGAATATATATATATATATGGATTAATCGAAAAGAAGAGATTCAGTTGTTCAACTTGATTTAGAATTGGCTACTGAAGAATTCGCTTGACTAGCCACTACTCGCTTAACTGATTTATTCTCCTGAAGTTATATAAAAATGGCATTTATGCGCAACACACTATGTGATAATTTCCGTAACAAAATAAGCATCAGTTATAACGATGTATACAACACTTACATAAGAAATAAAAAATACTAATGTAAACAAATGCAGAAATAAATTTTGAGTAGACGTCAGTTCATTCCTGTGCAACAGTTTTTGAAGGTTTTCCATTATGTTAAACAAAGAAGATTCATCCACACCATGGAAATGCTTCGTCAGTTCTAACTGTCATTAATTAGAAAATAAAAAGATAATATTTTTAAAATTAATAAACAGAAAACGTGGAAACAATTAGTATATATTTGAACTTGAACGTATTCAAATAATTTATTACCACCTATACTGAACTATCTGTTATATGAACGAGTTAGAGTAAGAGTAGAATATCAAGAGCACTAGTGATCACAGAAAGAATATATATATATATATATATATATATATAATAGATATTTGTTTGATTACATTAATTTTTTTCATTTTATTACATTGTATGAGGATTTAAACGTGTTTGGTTAACCACACAAAGGTGACACTAATAACAAAATAATCTGTAAATGAATACAACATTTAACTTGTATTAAAGAAATTAAGAATTTGAATAATTTACCCTCGGTTATTTTGTTTTTGTTTTTTTAGGATACTTTATTTTTCTTGTTACTTTTTATGAATGTAGCAAATTAATGTAGTCTTAAAGCAAAAATAATAAGGCAGCAGTGCAAAAAAAGTGAATATCGATCGACAAAAAGAAACATAAAATGAACTGATTGATCGAGAGAATGAAACATTATCTCTATGCGTTGTGAAGTAGTAAATCACTATTGTATAGCATACTTATCACTGAAACACGAAATTCGTACATTATGGGCGCCAAGGGATGTGGCAAAAAAAATCGCTTAGTTTTTCAGAGGGCTGGGATACTTCCTTAACAGGCAGACCGAAGCAGGCAGTTGTCTTAAAGAGCCAACCCCGTTGAAATCTAACCCACAGGGCAGTGGCGCAGTGTCAAGAGCTACATTCGCATGGATGACGCTGACCGAAACAGGTTCATACGACATTCAACCCTTTCGGATTCTGGAGCCCATCTATACCATGTGTTTCGAATCAGTGTTTTCCCCATCCCCTAAGTAAACCAGCATGTCCACCAAACTGATTGTAGACTCCGGATGTTCGCATTAATCCTTTCACTTTATATGAGTAGTACCCCCACTACGTGAGGACAGTGAATAGAGCTTACCTGGCAGCGGTTATGAACGCGTGTTTACATGAAAGCATTTCGACAAGAAGACTGAAGTCTACCCACCCTCAGTCAGGTATGCTGTCTAAAGCAACATAAAGTACCAGATTGTGTTACTTTAAACAATGAAGTAGTAGAACTTATTGTAACATACAGTCATTTGTGGTAAGTTTAGGTGAGAAATGTTATTTTCTTCTACAATGTGAAAACTAAGGATGGACACAATTTCACAGTAATTTTGGAATGATTTTTTCACTGAAGTCGTATAACATCAATCTGTATGTAGTATATAATAGAAAGTACAACAGAAAGTTACCATTCCAAATTATTTAAAGCTGAAGAATCTGATACTCAGTGATAACATGGGAGCAAATCGTCTAAACATGTGTTTCTAATCATTTATTTTAGAAGTTTCTAGCTCAGATTTTTAAATAAACATTTGATAGCTTCCCATACCTAAAACAGTGGCTTAGTAGATGAATGAGTCGTGCTTAAACAACTGCTAGACAGCTAGATGAAATTAGAAGTGTTAAGTATAGGAGCATAATTTGAATGGTCAGATATTTGATGGTGCTAAGTTCGACGAAGAAGAACTGTAACTGCATACTCCAAAAAACATAACTAAGCAATACTCTCTCATACCCTGTTAACCGAACCACCGGACTCTATGTTACTATTGGAAGCATCAACGATTTGAATTGATGATAAATGGTTGGAGGTAACCGGCAAGAAGCCCAGGCTGGACCTAGATTTCCTGCTTGTTAGCGATACCCCGCAAGGCATATCTGCAACCTCGAAGGATCTTGTGTCCCCTTAGAGACTTGAAGCCGCACCACCCAGTATCTCTGTCTGCAATGTTACGCCTGAGCTATTCGGGATCAAACTAATCAACTAATCATGTTTCGTAAAATCGGGCGACTGACTTAAAATAGAACAAGTAAATGAACATTATACATTTGTTCCTCTTCATCAATTTGAATGAAGCAAGGACAACAGTTTGTGAAGAATAAGATGGTACCATCATTTATTTCGTTGGCTCCTCATCAGCTGCGTACAGCCTAAAGAAATTAATAAGTTTATGTACAGAAAAATTTTAACAAACTTGCAAATTTTACATGATGTCAGTTGACAGGAGTTTCTAAACTTAATCAACAGTGCTCAGGAAATTACGTTTATACACTTTTTACCCAGGGTTCAACCCCGTAAGAACAAAGTTGAAGCATGCAGTCAACGAAACAAATTCTTATTGTCGATATGTAGACGACACATTCGTAGTGTGCAATAATGAAAGTTATGCTTTCTACCCACTCGATTTATACAACGACGCACATACAAATACTGAATTTACTATGGAACATTGCAATGATGGAAAGTTACATTTCTTTGATATTGTCACACAAAGCCTGGAGGATGGTAGTCTCCAGAGGCCAATTTACCGGAAGCCGACATAGAATGGACAATTCCTACATTTTAATAGTTTTCGTCCAAATAGCTATAAACGAGCACTAGTCCAAACTCTGTTTTACACAGTAAGGAGGATATGCTCTACAGACAAATTAGGGAAAGAATTTATGATTCCCAAAAAGATGTTGAAAAACAGCGGTTACCCACAGAGATTCATTAACACGTACGGAAGATGCGAAGACTCAAATGCCAAATAAATCACAGTGGGAAAGACGCTTGTATTCATTGAACTCAATTTTAAAGGTGGAAACAGTGCAGGAATAGTCACTAGCCAGAGCCTATCATGCAGCTAAGTTGGTTCCTGTCTATCGGACAGCATGCTCTTTGGTGTAATCGAAAGCTGACAGTCATCCTTCTCATGTTAACTCTAACTGTGAATACAAACTTACATGTATCTGCGGGAGCAGTTACATTGGGAGAACAGAAAGAGGGGAACACCTGATTTTCTGAACATGTACCAAAAAGCCTATATGTCAAGGGTACAAACGCTTACAATAGTCCTGGGGTGGGAGCTGCTAAATCCTTTAAAATTATCAATAGACAAAAAAGCTCAAATCTCCTCAAGTTTGCCGAAGCAATCTTTATCAAGCACTTTAAACCCGATTTATGTGTTCAATAAGAAGCATTTATCAATCTTTCCTTGCTCTGGTATCTGGATGTCTTCACTCTCTCTTTCATTCGATTACGTAATCTTCGGCCTTAACCTCACTCTCCTTTGGTATAATGTAAGAACTCTTTAAACTATTCATCTTATTGCGTAACTCTGACACACTTACTGAACTTCTTTTATGCATGGACAAATCACTGCTACCCTCTTGCCAATCTTCACTCATCTCTAGTTATTATTTGATTATTCATAACAATTTTGGAAACATTCTGATGACGTAAACAATAAATAATTTTTATTCTTGTCTGACAAACCTAATTTACACAAGAAAAATAGTCCTATGGTTTGAGTTGAACTCAATATATTGTTACCCAATTTATTAGTTACTGATCATCTTACTCACCTCCTTTACCATTGTGTGGATACATTGATTTTTGTTTAGACTTGGACTCTCTGAGTAAAAAGTGTATAAACGTAATTTCCTGAGCACTGTTGATTAAGTTTAGAAACTCCTGTCAACTGACATCATGTAAAATTTGCAAGTTTGTTAAAATTTTTCTGTACATAAACTTATTAATTTCTTTAGGCTGTACGCAGATGATGAGGAGCCAACGAAATAAATGATGGTACCATCTTATTCTTCACAAACTGTTGTTCTTGCTTTATTCAAGCAAACAGTAGTCAAATGAGCTCAGTTCAAGATAAATGAACAGATTGCCACTCAAAATAGGATCACTGCATTTGATATTATTAGTATCAACCAGTACAAGACCTACAATAGTAGATTAGACAACAAAGATTGGAAAGGTATACAAAAAACCTATATGGTCTACACAACTGTTTTGTAAATCATCGACTTTCAACTTTTCATAAGACCAACGCCACTGAGAAAATAATACCATGAAATAACTTTGATGTTATTGAAATGCAAATTGCTTAGTAAAGACCCTTTTAGTGAGAAAATAACTAGCCTTCGACTCTTAAATTTGGAAAACTCCACTGTTTCTCTTATATTTATTGTATGAAGTGCTCTTAAAGAAATTAAGATTTTGGAAATGATGAATAAAAAATTGTTTCAGTTAAAGTTATATCTTTTAAAAATGCATATCAAGAACCATGGCCAATCCAATTGTAGTTAGAATGAGAGGAATAATATGTTATAGACATCGTCATTATGAAAGAGGACTATTTTAGAAATCTGAAGTAGTAAATTCCTTTGGTTGATTGAGACAGGCAGTGTAATGAGGAGATGAAGCCTAATAACAAAATGTATTGAAAAACTTTGGATAATAGATAAAAATTACTCGATTATACATATCAGTCTCTTATTCAGTTTCAGATCCGCCTCGCCCGAGCTAGTGGGCTCGTTCGTCGATGGTTCAGTGGTAGGACGCTCGCCAACCATGCACATCGTTTGGAGTTCGACTGCCGGCTGATGCACCTCTTTAAATCGCTAAGCCGGTAGTGTGGCCCGTAAAAAGTAAAGGTTGGACGTGAGGCTAGCAAGCACGTCCCGTAAAAATAAAACCACTGCTACCGAAACTTCAAAGCTCTAGCTTGAAGCCCTATGTTCCACTCACAACTTCAAGGAATAAAAAAAATAGTGTAAGCAGATTACTTGAAGTGTAAGGCGTTAACATGCAACACTTTTGAGGTAATCTTAGTTTCCCCTAATTATATTGTCTAAACGGTTTAAAAATTGGGGATTTTAGAAGAAAATAACAAACCTCATGAAAATTTATACGATCGATATCAATAGGTTCATTTGGCCAATCAGGTTGACATGTTGAATTCAATAGATCAGTGAAGAACTGATGGAAAATTTGATAAAAAGCCTATGGTAAGAAAGAGAGAAAAGAAGAGAAGACACAAGACATATTTAATAGACGAGTTAGCTGTGAGATTGATTGCACATAAAATAATAAGTTTATGTTACTACTAACAATCAATATGAACGGTGAGTATCCTTTCCACTCTATTCTGTTTAGATTATCCAGTTAAGGAATTCAATAATAATTGTACGAAAAAAGGCATACATTGTCACATAATGAAGTATTGATAAAAATGACTACCTTTAATAGGTTAAAATCGAGTATTTGTGGTGAAAAGACTAAATAAAAGTGATGAGACTAGGAAATTTTAAGCTTACGATGTCCTAATGTAATAACTAAAGGTAAAACTTACAGTTATGTTTGAAAAATGTGTATATAACTCACGTTTAAATCTACGTAACCCACTTCATCTTTGCATTCATTGATTTTCGTCTCACCTAGTAGTGACAACAGAATAAGTAGGGAAAAAAGTCAAGATTAATTATATAAAAATAATTGCTGTCATCAAAGTATTCACATACTTCAAATAATCTCTATGATTTAGTCAAAACAAGTTTGAAAATAATAATAAAGAAAATTAACAGCTTTCAGTATTTATCTGAGATGTGTACCATAATTTCATTTAAATAAAATCTTATTTCAAATTACCGAAATTAGCCATTGAGTCGTGAAGAAAATAAAAGACATTTCAGCAAAGAAAGTTATCTTTATCGACGAAATTATCTTCAGAGGCTGTACAGTCGTGTTTATATTTATCGAAAATATATAGTAGTAACAGTATTGAATAGCTGTCATCAGTATGTCAATACAAAACCAAATTTCAAAGGATTTATTTCAGCTGAGTACAGAAAGCAACTACGTGAGATTTTAAGCATAATAATGAATTGGGGCTGATCCATCCCGATAAAGGCGCTGGCATCGTCTTAATGAATCGCCAAGACTACGTCGATAAAATGTTATCTATCATATCAGATGAAAACAAATTTTCAAAAGAAAATAACCAGAAAGACGAAACTGAACAAATTGAAGGAAAAATAACACAAACGCTGAAGAAGATGAAGAACGAATCGGTTATTAACTCTGAATTATTTCAGCAAATGCGACCCTCGAGTTCTATAATTCCCCGGTTATACGGTCTCCTGAAAGTGCACAAAGAGGACATACTACTACGTCCAATCTTCGATATGACAAATTCGCCATGAGATGCTACTGCCAAATGGCTCGCAGACATACTTCTACATGTCAGAAATAATCTCTGTTAGCATTGCGTTTCAGATTCATTTGAATTCGTCGATTTAGTAAGTGATGCTAATGTATCCAGGAAGAAAATATAATATCTTTGGATGTTACGTCTCTCTTCACTAATGTTTCTCTCACTGAAACTATTTGCTTTATATGCAAATTCATCGAGGATAATAATCTGGACGTGGGTATTCCGACCCACTACTTGGAGGAACTACTATTGAGATGCAATTTCAATGTGCAGTTAAGTTCAACAACACGCTCTATAGAAAAAGAGATGGAGTGGCAGTGGGGTCACCATTGGCTCTTTCACTTGCAGACTGCTTCTTGGAAAGTCTAGAGAATAGCATGTTAAGACCCACTATCGATAGTTTCCATATGTACCAAAGATACATGAATGATACTTTCATCATTTGTGACGAGAATACGGACATCGAGATAATAACAAAGGAGTTCAGCAACTGCCATCATGCCATCTAGTTCACATTGAAATCAGAGATGAACTCGGAATTCCACTTTTTGAATGTTTTTCTAAAAAGGAGATCTGACAGTTCTCTTCAAAGATCGATCTACAGAAAACCAAAATGGAACAGTCAACACACGAATTTTCATAGTTAGATCCCTTTGAGAAGAAAGATAAATCTGATCCACTCCTTCTCCTCAAGAATAAGAAGGATACGTACCAGTGATACAATCGATGGCGAACTGGAGCGACTCAGACAAATCCTCGTGGAAAGTGGGTGTCCTCCAAGATTCATCGAGAATAAACATGAAAGTAAAGCAAAGTCCCGAAAGAACCCAGGAGGTGTTGAAGAAACTGCTATTTATAAGTGTTGAATTTAAAGGTGATACCAGAGCTGAATTTTGAAGAATCGCTTATGCAGATCACTGAGAAAGGCTTTCTTTTGGGCGAAGCCAGGGATCAATTTTTATAGCCGACAAATGATCATTGGGTGTGTGAAGGATAAACTGCCGCTTTGGGCCACTTTAGTGTGTTTATGAATTCACTTGCTCCTATGGAGCCATTTATATTGGTAGCACAAAGCGCACAAATTTCAAACGTACCTCTGAAAATTATCCGACATAACAAAAGGAGAATGCAAGACATTTACTAGCTCATTTCTCGAGCACTTCGTGAACTCAAGCCAAACAGCTCCACCAGAGTGGTCTTTCAAGACTACCTACAAGGTAAGACCAAGTGGTACAAAGGGCGTTAGGTTTCGGCATTTGTGTATGGCGGAGGCGTTGTCAGTTCGGTAATGCAACCCCGAACTCCGTAAACAGAAAAAGTTTGTCGAGTCTCTTATTCTGCCATGGTCTAAACCTGTTCACTAGTCGTTCCCCGTGAAAATCTTTTTAAATTTTACTTTTGGTATGTTTTTACTTTAATAATTAACTCACTATTATCACTCTAACACGTTCCTTTGGTACATTTTCTTACTCTCTTCTCACCTATTAAATAGACACTCAACTGCCTTTCTTCTTACTCGATAACAATTTTAATCTTATCAAATTTCTAATACTTTTTCCCTTTGAGTCATTGAGTATTACGTAGTTTATAACTTGTTTTTTCAAAGCCACTTCTGAGTAATCATATCAGTTATGTCACCCCACCCCTATTAGTCAATAATGGACTACCATGCATTTGTGATAAATATAAATATGACTGTACAGCCTCTGAAGACGATTTTGTCGATAAAGAAAATTTCTTCGCCGAATCATCTTTTGTTTGCTTCCAAATCCTATTTCGTAATGAAGTAAAAGAAAGTGGTAGGATGAAAATATCTCTCCACTACATTTTAAAAGAACATTGGCTGTCTAGATTTTGTACTTCTGTCATGATGAATTCATCGATACGGCTGTTTTTACTAAAAATGCAGACAAAAAATGTAACAGACTTGAATTCTTGAGAATTAGCACATATTACATCATTCTTAAAATGAGTTACTCTACTCAGTGATTTATCAACAGGACGAAAAAGCGTATTTGTTCCTTCTTAATGTCATCAAATAATATAGCAGGGAGCAAAATAGATGCACGTTCTCATGTTATTTTAGACTTTCTTTATGGCATATGAATGATTCATTTCATTTAAGTTAACGTGATTTACTGAAATGTAGTGTAAGCCAATACAGTAATTAAAAAACCAATGGTGAGTTGCATCCTGTAAGAAGGATATAACTGGTGAGTTATACTAAATATGTTTCCATAAAAATATTTATTTAAATGAGATAATCACAACTAGTAATCGCAAACTCAAAAAGACTAAGAAAAACAAACTTTTCGTAAGAATTGCCCTGAGTACTATTCTATTCGATAAGCACAGTTGTGACCCAAAACATCTTATTAAGTACATACGTCCATGAAAGAATTTGCTCTGTTTCAGTCAGTTATCTATGCACATATACTAGTTAGTAAGGAAATTATTAGTACAGCTTGTTGGCCTAAGTGAACGACTTTCGATTAATGGTTCCCCTTTTAGGCATTCGCTCTGCCTGACTGACAGTCTCTGTATCGAACTTCGCACATAAGTGCAGCAGTTCAATTCGCCATACTCCATGTAATACACAAGGGTGGAGAAAAGAGATATTCTTAAGAACTATAATGAGCACAAATGTGCCGGAGTAAGAGTAGCAACATGGGGAAAATGAGTGTTTAATGGATATGGGAGATCATGAAGAGTGAATGCTTTACCTACTTTGACCTTAGTGGCCTGGTAGATTAATAAGTCCTGGAACATATGGAGGCTTAGAATTTAGTAAATATAAAGTCCTCTCAAGTAATTCAGTTGTGCGACAAAGCTACTTACGTGTTACTGCGTCAATGTTTTCAAGTGGAATGACACTTCTCCGAGCAATTTCTGCAAAACGTGCACAGGCATCTATCAATTTAGAAACGGAAAGGAGATATACATTTTTTGAACAATTCGATTTTAGCATGAATAAAATTGAGCTGAAAATATACACACACGAAGTGATGGCTATCCTAGTAATTACACTACTTACAAAAATGTATTGTTAATGACCTTACACAGCAACTATTGACACCCTAATGGAACTATTTTTTAACTTGATCCTTCGACGTGTTTACTACTGAACACAAATATGAAGATTAACTCAATAATCTGAAGTTTAAAAAGTTAAACTGACACATCCAAAATGTAGCTGTGATGCAGAAATCAACAGTGAGTAACTGGTTGCAATAATGAATATGGTGAAATCTAACATTTTTAATGTGACTGAAAATTTGTGTAGGTCAGAATGAAACGCCGTTACGTTAGTGCTTCTTCCCTAAAGATAAATGTACCAGGTAGCTTTTAAAAATACTTTCTTTACTCACTTGTGAATCACGTGAAGATATTAGAATCAGTATGTTTTTCTTAAAATATACGTAGCTGCGACTCCATTGAAATGATGGACAAATTTAAAAAGACTGAATACGGTTGAAAAGTTACGGTTCTACGCCTTACATAAACACCTTCATTCCTCCATGGCTAAGAATTTTCTTTACAATCTAAGTCATTAGATATACATTACTCTTGAACATAAGTATTATTATATTCGTATTGACTGTTTTTTGCATGCACATCTGATGAAGAATAAACAACTTTTCGGGAACTAAGGCTTAAAAATCCAGACGGAAAATAAACACACGATTGTTGAAATTTGGTTGGGGGAAAAAAAATAATGGTATTCCCAGTGTAACTTAGAGTCAGAGTTGGTTGTTTAAACCGTGTAGCTGTAAAATATTAATTCATATCATCATCACTCGTTAGCAAATAAATTTAGCAGCCACTTTAATATCACTGACACAATACTTATAATAAGATATTCGAGTTTAAAAACAGTATTAGAACTTTTATTTTTATAATATCAATTGATAATATCAACATATTTAACGATCTCAAGTAAAATCTCTAGACAACAAGAGTTACAACGTCACCACTGATTTGTTAGCTTTTCCAGACAAGCTGGCAAACCACAGTACAACTTTACCAAGAGGCGTATTACTTCAAGCTACGACATACTATACAGAAACGACTTAAAGGAAAAACGAAATAATCACAAGAGGAGGAAACCAATTCAATAAATGACTGCTACATTTTCTCCAATATCTTTTATTTCTCAGAGCTGTAGTATTTTAACGTTTTAATCTTATTACATTCCTGAGTTTCGATGAACTTTTTTCTAAATTACTCTAATAGTCAAGGATAACGGTCGTGCCAGTCATTTGTTTATCAGATAAAAAGCAAAACAGAATTCGACATAAATCCACGTCAGTTTAACTCCCCCGTTAACATTACCCTGAAGGAGAGAAAAAACCATAGAAAAACTAAAGATCCAAAAGCAGTAACCTACATTGTGTACAATGAAATGTATTTGCAATGTTTTAAGTGGGTAGAAGTGCAAGTTTTTGAAACTTGATTAAAATTATTCCAAGAAGAAATTGAACATGAAACAAATCATACCGAATCCCAGAGAACCCTGCTTACCGTACAGATTAGATGTAAAGAAAACATAAAATACCCACTTGAGCCTGTAATACTGAAGAAGCTAAAAACCTAGCTTTCAGCAGCTGTTCATGCCATTTTTAAACCAGCAAGTATAGGTATTGACTTATACAAGGATAAGATGGTTAATGTTACCACACTTTAAAATATCATTCTTAACATTCGTACATTAAATATTGAAAACATTTAAATTGCTGAGGTAAAATTTTCTAGGGATGAAGACAAAGATTTATCGACGACTTCAAACACAACTGAGCCCTAAAGCATTTAATAGAACTTTTTCTTTCTATCAACTGAAAATATTTTCTGACTACTCTGTCTCACATATACCTCAATCCTTTCAAAACTAAATGTACACTGACACAAACAGAATTACTTATCCACACAGCATATTTTATCTATGTGTAGATATCCATAACGTAAGAATGATATCCATCTTTGAGTACTGCGCAGTGACCTACGTTTATTCTGTCAGAAATGAGCTTGTAGTTGCTATCCACTAGTTATCAGACAAAAGATGGAAAGAAATTTCACTAACTAGCAGTTTATATAGTGCTGCAAATGGATTTGTGATTTTCGGTACACCTTTCCCGACATGCTGCATGTTTACTCAAATACATATATTAAGTGATATGCAGCTGTCAAAACCCTCAACACACTTGGTCTTTCTAGTAAATATATTCACATCTTTTAAAAACTGATGGCATGCTTGATAGGATATTAATTTAGCCCATTAGGACAACCTCTTTAATGCTTTGAATAAGCATGGACATTATCAACGTACGTCTTATCACTATTTTATGGTCCAAATTGACGTTGTGACAGAAAAACAAACGAGAAAAACTATGAATGAATCTGTGAGTAAAGCTGAATCAAGTACCCCGAATTTTATTTAAAGTTTTTCATAAGACAGACATCTATAAACCTCAGTCGTAGAGCAGTTGGAGATTCGGCTGTAAGCTTAAGAACGACGACGGGATTGTTAATTTTGGTGGAAGTAATTAAGAAAGGTGACATCCTTGGAAAGTTTATGTAATTTAGATTAAATTCCTTCTGGACACTAAAAGATTAAGGAACATCGGAAATAACCTTTTATTGGTCTAATATATTTACAAAGCCGGAAATTTATACTGGATAAGGTGATACTGATGTGTCCGACACATTTTTTTAAACAGTAGTTTTCCGACAATATATATATGCATCAATTTAGAAAAACTTGCCTGAAAGCCAAGGATTCCCAGCGAAACCAGGTATGCACTGCTGAAGACGCTGCAATTTGAATAGGTTGTTTACATTTTTATACAATTAGTTTATTATGAAGACAGTTAGCGTAATATGAAAAAGACCAAAATATGCCACCGAATTGTAAACCAAATAATTACTGGTTTCCTAAATGAGGTTTGAAGTTATGCTAACTATGGTGATTACTACTTCATATTTGAAGTAGTAAATTCCCAAGCTTACAACAATTCTCTAACTAATTCTAACCTATGCGTCGATGATGCGTTTTTATGTTAAATGAATATTTCCTCTAGCTAAAATTGCCAGTATGCGCTGGATTAACTCTTTTTGTTCTAAAGTAATGCCGGTCACTGCTGAATCTGGGCTAAGAGGGCTAAAACAACACTGATTAGCAAACCCAGTAGGTACTGAGCTAATTTTGAAAGTGTCTAGAATTAGCACAGGGTGCTGAATTGGTGCGTCATGCTGTAAATCAGCACTGAGTTCTAGTTTGTGCGCATAATCTAACCATTTCAGAACAATTTCAGAATTAAATCATTATAGAAAATCAGATTTAGTTTAGAATTTGCAAGATTTAATTCAGCATTATTTCTAGCTTGGATTAATTGATTAGGCATGACGAAAATTCTGTAAAATGACTATCGATCGCATTACGATTTTACACAACGCATACATTATTGCATTTGATGAACAAATGTAATATAATGCGAGTCCCAGTGACCAACACATTTCAGATGGAAAAGTAAAAGATTCAGAAGAACAACCAAGATCCTATACCATTCAAAAAGTATTGTCACCTATAACTCTTAACGTATGTAGTTCACCGATCTTTTTTGAAATCTCTATATACTTTGTATTACTGAGGTATAGTCATGTACAGCATATATATATATATATATATATATGTATGCATATATAAGTGTGCAGTTCGTGAATTCATAGTTACGATTCTTTAAGGAATTAAGGTTTAGAATTCAAAAAAGTTTTGAGATGTGCACAGCTTAGGTTAATTATTACATGCATTTATTAATAAATTTACAAAGTACAAAGTCACCTTCGACATAACTGGTTCGTATTGTAGAGACCGCCACAAATCGCCTCTTTTTGGAAACTGTATGAATTTTCAGTAAGTGAGAAGCCAAATTATAGTCGGATTATGTAAGCAGATACATCTGTTCCCCATTAATCAGACTCCTGTAGTATGATATAACTATGAGTGAAGTAGCGCATAGCGATTAAACGTTATGCGTACCGAAACGAGTATTTCAACACTTCAGGGTCATGGACTTTTTGTTTCCATGGTGGCGGGTTCAATTTCTAACGCCTGTCTGACATGACTAAATCTAATATTTCTTTTGCTAACCATGAGCTTATGTGCACCAGATTGACTGTTTTTCCCGTTTGTTGATTTTGATGGAATACTGTCTTATATGTAGTAGGTTCTTGTGTAATCCAGCATAAAATATCTGTTTGAAGAGCTTAAATAAACCTTAAGATTTCTTGGCTCTTGCTTCTTGTTACTTTTTAATGGCTATGGATCTTTGAAATATTCCAGAACAGTCGATCCCCTTGACAGCTGAGGCTCATCAGGACGCCACAGAATGAGGAACATTATTTTTCAGAGAAGGTATTTTAGAAGATGAGGGAATGTTGCCATTTACGCAAAGTGTGATATGCACCATTGTAAGTCCTAATACTCACAACCCTTTCAGTGTTTATTTTTCGTGGACCAAAGGCAAACCAAAATGATCGTCCAAAATGCGAAATATATAACAGGACGCAAATCGTAGAGCGAGGATGATTACTTAACTAGCTAGAGATCCTGCACGATCGAACGAACGCATCATGAAGACGTGCCGAGTTGAGTGGATGATTGACCAGTGGCCTTCAGTCTCACCAGTCGACATAATTAATGGAGGTGAGCAGCCAATGAGGAGTGATGAATGTCGTAGGCTAATGACTTTGTGGAATTATTTGTCGCTTCAGTATTCTTTTTACATGAGTAGTGGGGTCACCGAAACTAGCAACATTTGCTCCGTCAGGGAAATATTCATCGATTTTTTAGAAACGGTCTAGAGAGGAAGATACAAAGTGAGTAGGCGAATGGATGTAAACTTTAGTTTCCTGATACGAATGTAAAACAAACGGCAGAAGTTAATGAAAAAGGATTTAGTGAATTCATAAAATTTTATTCCAAATCTATAGCTGGATACTCTACATAGGGGGATAAAACTTGGATAAGATGCATTATGGTTCACTTTTATAACTTGGACTAAGAATAAGCAATCAGTGAGTGAAAGAACTCAAAGACATCAAGAACTGTGAAATAAATGATATTGATGGTAATCGTAATGCTAATAATAACAACAATAATCATCAACACTAGTGTTTACAAACTAGTTAAGATAACGGTGATGGTAAGGGATAGTTTTAGATGAATCAGAAATTGCATTGAGGTAGGATGAAATATTATCAATAATAATAGTTGCATTTAGGTATAGATGATTTCACTGTACACAGTTCGAACAGAGATTCCAAGCGCGTTGCGAGGTGCCTCATACACATACGTAACTCATTTGAGTTAGTAAGGTGAAAGATGAAATACTGAATGCGGTACCTGATTTACCCCCGGTCATCTTACGTGGAGATAAATACAAACTTCTCATAGTCTGCGTTTATCGAGCACAATGCTCAACTCGAGAAACAAATGAATTATCAGGTAAATCGCTTGCGCACACCTCCTCCTTTTGTACTAGTTACAAAGTAATTGCAGGGGACTCCAATCTTCCAGGCATCGACTGGTTAAATGGTTCCGGCGCCAATGTTTCGACGAATCACTTGTTACTGGTGATTGCTACGTATGGAAACAACACGTCCAGACACCTACCCGTGGCGACAACATATTGGACCATGTGTTCCATAGCGATGTAATGCCTGCTTCCAACCATTCTGGTGACAGATTTTCCTGCAGCCACTATGGAATGATACTCTGTTCTCTGCCATTCTCATCACCAAATACAGGAAACAAACATCACTCACAGAGCATGCTCTGCCATAGTTACAAAGATACGGACTCGGGATCACTCCAAGAAGTCATTAGACTCTGTCAGTGGGATGACTATTTTACCACTGACTTCCTGGAGGCCGTAGTATCCCTACCTTACAGGAATTTCACCCAATGTCAAGGTACTGCTGCTTCTAAGAAGACGGTAAAATTTAATAAACACCCAGCTGAATATATTCCAGGGGCGTACCGCAACAAGTTAAGGAAGTTGGTGAAACAGTATTATTCCACTAAGGATATATCACTACTGTACTCGATCCACGAGTCACTTGAATCTATCAAGTGCCTACGCTCTCAAAAGGACCTAACAATACTTCTTAAAAAACGAATGCGGTCGACGAGGGACATTCCCTACTTACTTCACAACAAAGTAATCTTCAAAATGCCTGTCAATACCTGTGAAGTTTTGAGTGAGTGTTTTGCTAACTCTAGAAATGCACCCCAGTAGTAAAGCTGCACCCTTCACCAGCTCTTCTGTCAGCAGCATGGCGTTCACCAGTCAGTTGATATGACAAGCCGTTAAAAGCCTTGAGCCTTCTATCAGCGCGCGATTGGATGGTCTAGTCTCAGTAATCCTCCCAAACAGTGGTCACGGTATTCTTCTCCTACTTATTAACTTCTTTGAACCTATGGGGGACAACACTTACCTTAATGAGTGGAAAACTGGCTTCAAAATTCCACACTACAACTGTGAGGATAAAGCAAACGTTCGCAATTAAAGATTTATAAATATGACCACAGCTTTCTTGCGAATCTGGATAAAGTTGTCAAAGATCAAATGTCAGATTTTCTACTTAAAGGAGGTCCTGTTACAGGATCTCAACACGGATTTCTCAAAAGAAGTCCTGAGTTACTTGTTACCCCGACTTTTTCAACTGCATCGCTAGTACGTGAGCTAGTCATTGTTCTCTACTTCAGTAAATCTAGGGCATTTGACATGGTATCTCACCCGTTTATACGAAATATAAATTATTATTATTCTCTTTGAGAAGCTGTACTAATGTGGAATTCGCAATCTATTACTTAACTGGTTGAAGTCACTTCTAAACATCAGGGTACAAATAACCAAAGTTGGATCTGTATTGTCTCATCCTAGGTAGATCAAAAGGTAGTGTCCTACGACCACTTTTATTTCCAGTCTACACTAACAGCATTTGTAACTGCTTCACCTCAGGTAAACCATTTCTATATGCTGACGACCTCAAAGTCGTTTACTCCTGCTACGCTCATGAACTAAGCGATATGGTAAATAAAATACATCTTGAACTAAGTGGTCTCGCAACATGGTGTACTGAATCCTGTCTAAAGTTCAACATTGATAAATGCGGCTGGATTTGTATCGGAAACAGTAACCTTGACCTGAATCTTGAAATAAATGGGCGTAAACTAGCCAAGCTCAACTCAGTCGTAGACCTCGGCATCAGATACTCTAGTAACTTAACGTTCTCTGAACAAACTGATTATGCGAGACGTAAAACACGAAGGCTCCTAGAATGCATAACTCTCAATTTCTTTTGTTGTGAAACTAGGGTTTTATTGTACAATGTATGTGTCCGACCTATTTGAGAATACTGAGCATTTATTCTTAGCGGACTGTGACAGAGTGACAAGCTGAAATTAGAAGGAGTACGTCGGCATTTTACCTTGTGAACTCTTGGTTTAGAATGTAGTCTCAACTACTCTGAGCGTTGCAACACACTGAAAATGGAACCACTCTGAAAATGGCGTCTTAAGCTAAACCTTACTTTATACTTCAAGCTAACTAATCTTCTTTTGCACTCCTCCAGACCAGTAACTGAATCTACTGCTGTCATCAGTCACGATCGTAGGAATCAAGACAACCTGGTCGCTTAGGCGGATTGCCAGACTTACTTGCGGTACAACTTAAATAAGTTTTCAACCATTTGGAATAGACAAGCAGCTAATGTGCGTGATGCAAATACACTTTCAGTGTTCATCTCCTCAGTTATCAGACTGCTCAAAGTTGACAATGCTCTACTGTGTCTGAATAACACACCTTTTTCACCCCAAACAGATATAATTGGTCCATTAAGCGTATGAGTAACAACTTAATTAATAAAAGGTTATTATTATTGGAAGAACCTCCTAGACGCTTTTAGACAGGGTATAGATATTAGTTCATACATACAATATAAAAGTTAGCAAAACGGGACCATACAATTGGTGTATCAGTAGAAACCATTGTTTCTGTACAAAGCATTTATATAAATTTACAAATCTCAACTTGAGAAATCCTTATGGTTCTTCCTGTGCTGCCACCTTTTATCTTTTTTCCTCAACATCTTAGCTTGTATCTGACTATGCGAACGACGACAAAGAATGTAGGTTGATATAAGTATAAAACTTGGGCACTGTGGTAGAGCATAACTTCATTATGGATAAGATTTTATTTTGATAATCACACAGTGTTGTACACTAATATTAACTGATGACGTTTCGAGCATAAACTATTGCTCATAATCATATCAAGTTACTCACACAACTTTTTCCCTTCATTTATATACGTGTGGGATTGACTAGATATTTGGAATATAATTCAATATAGGATAATGTACATTCAGAAATAATAATACAGAAATAATAAACACATCGAAACATTCTAAAAAGTAACTTATTATGACTATAGAAACACTCGTTTTATTTCCTATCTAATTGTAATTGATCAATAACACTCATATCATTATTTCTGAATGTACATTATCCTATATTGAATTTTATTCCAAATATCTAGTCAATCCCACACGTATATAAATGAAGGGAAAAAGTTGTGTGAGTAACTTGATATGATTATGAGCAATAGTTTATGCTCGAAACGTCATCAGTTAATATTAGTGTACAACACTGTGATTATCAAAATAAAATCTTATCCATAATAAAGAATGTAGGTATTTGGAGAGTTAAAATAGCAATCTGAAGAGATCTGCAAACATTCCTGGCCCCAAATCCTATAAGAGCCTTGCAAAATACCCAATACTTTCTTCCGCCACGCACCCTTGATGAAAATTGTGTAATATTATCGTTATGTCAACAAATAAATTTCAGTCAGTACATGTACGACTGCATCAATTCTGGTAATTTAATAAATAATAAGAATATGCTGTCGATTGCAGTTACAATCTCACTGATTATAATTTCCAGGTCCTACAAGCTCCACTTGTCGTTCTGTATGGATTAGTTCACCATTATTCTGGTTACTA